TACTAACATTAACTTCTCCATTTGAAAGTTTAACGGCACTTTCAACAATATCTCAATTCAATCGTGGTGTTCTGTTTTGTTGGTGGAGGAAACCGTGATAACAAGAAAAAAAAAACAACTTCCGACCCTTCAACGAAATGTAAATTTAACATGCTTGATAATGTCCAAACGTTGTAATCTTTTAAAACTTCATTCGATAACCTCTCTTTTCCGAAAAACTAACTGATTTAAGTTGATAGAAAGAAAATGTCAGGGAAAATGCGAATAATAATAATTAATTCACACATTTTAACGTTTTTTAGGTATTGTCGCTTTTCAACATTATATTAAATTCCCAGTGACCTTTCTAGATAAAATAAAAATATAAAGATAATCAAATTGAAAACGCTTTTGTTTCAGTCTTTTTTTTAATTGTCAAGTACACATTTCTAGTTTGGTTTATTTGTAGAATTTTACGCTGCTGTGTAACACATTTATCTATTCTAGAAAATGATATACAATAAGGAGATGTGGTATAATGATTGGCAAAATAGACAAATATCTACCAGAGACCAAAGGACGTAAATGTTTGCAACTATAGGTCACCGTATGACAGACCCCCAACATGGAGCAAAACCCATCCCGCATATAATTTTAGCTAAGAAAGGCCCCGAAATGACAATTATTTCTTTAAATACATTTTAAATAAACGAACGTTTTGAACAAATATTGATGTAGAGTAAAAAAATCGGATTCGAATATGATTTGATTCCTGTGTTTTTTTTTATTCATTTATTTTAATCACTTTGAAGATTTTCTTTGTAGTCGTTCAACAAAATAGAAAGAAATTGGGGAACACCGATCTTAAACTTAATCGATCTCTTCTATGAAACAATGCAATTTTGAGAATAATGATCATATTGTTTTTCTGGATCCTCGTCCGTGTATTGCGGAATAAATCGTTACTATTTTATTGTTTAAAAATCATCTCAGCATTATCAAACAAACCCATACAGGTAACTATATTGAATGATTATCTGTTCTTTTTGAGATGGTCCCCACTATAGCCTGTAGTGGTATTGGTATTTAACATCAGCGTCAAAATCGTATTGACTTTACTAACACGTCTAATAAACAAGATGATGACGTAATGATATTGATTTATTAGTATCGTCAGTTAATGACATATATGTAGATGCAATGTGCAGCATCACAAACTAAAAAAAGGAAAGTTCTCGTCCTTCTATAAATAAAAGAAAGAGGAGAGCTAAATAAAAAAAAGAAAAAAAAAAGCAATGAATGTCTTATGATTGTCGTTTACTAAGGTTTCATCGTAAAATATTTCAAAAAGACAAAAATAATGTACGCCTTCGTCAAACTTATTTGAATTGTGAAAAAAACATTATAATAAACAAAAACAAAAAAGAGGATAAAAGCAGAGTTGTAATGATCTGATGAGTTAAGGCCTTTTTCAACTGATTTTTTTATAGTTTGTTCTTACTGTTACACCACTTTCCTAGATAAGGGGGAGGGTTTGGCGCCAGCAAACATATTTAAACCCCGCCACATTCTGTATGTGCCTGTCCCAAGTCAGGAGTCTGTAATAAAGTGGTTGTCGTTTGTTGTTGTATATCAGTTTTGTTTTTCGTTTATTGTTTTGTACATAAATCAGGCCGTAGTTTTATCGTTTAGATTATTTTACCTTTTTCATTTCATGGCCTTTCAAAGCTTGCTATACGGTATTGGTTTTGTTCATTGTTGAAGGCCGTATGGTGACCTATTGTAGCAGTTGCTAACTTCTTTATTGTCAATCATACCACATCTTCTTACTTTTAAATATACTAGACACTGCAGATAAACTTCCATTTTAAAAGGTTCAGAATATGATTACGAAAATCAATGTACTTGGTGTCCATGGAAAGGCTTCCAATATAGCTTTACGTACAGAACTGGAGCGTTATTCATTATATTTTATATCATATAAATAAATGTTTAAATATTATGCTAGATAAACTGACATTGAACGTGGGAAGAACAAAATATTTGATTTTTTAAGTTCTGCATTCATAGAAGATAAAAGTTTAAATTCACAGAAGAGCTATTGCTGGCTGCAATCAAACTAAAAAAGTTACTTAATTGGATTCACTTCAAGTATTATATACCAAAGGCACATTTAGGGGGGGGGGCAGGGACCAGGCCCCCCTTATGGCGCTACACATAGGGTAAACGCATAGACTTTTTACAAGTCCCACTCCTTACGTTGCCTTGTTGGTGCCCCTCTCTTTTCAAAATCCTGGAATAAACCTGAGCCTGAGTATTTTTTGCCGTTTTGTAACATACGAAACTTAATTCGTTGATAAGTGCAATCTATTGTAACATCGGACAAACTTAACTTATCCATGGTTATCGGTCACACAGAAATGTAAACATTCGGGACATTCGAAGTTAAAGGGCAAGGATTGTTTAACATACTATTTAGATAACCGTTAATTACTCTCGTAATGGCAATTAAGAGTATATGAATTGTTTTAAATACATAATTCAATCAAAAAGGCAATTACTTTACTAGTACTTGTCAATCAACGTTGTTGTCAGAGTAAAAATTGAAATCAGTGCATTTAGAAACCTTTTATAGAAAACCTTCGAAATGTTGCCCTTTCCAGAACTCGAATTTTAATCGGACTACAATTTTTACGTGTCAGTAGAATATAACCTCGAAGATTTACTTGGATACTTACTAACATTCTAACTCACACTCGAAGATTAACCGTACTTAATACTCCTAACATAAATCATTAAAAAGTTTTAAATACAGGCCTAAGTTATGGTATGCTCTTTTGAAGAAATGGAAAAGTTCTTTCATGGACATCTGACTCTTATATATCTTCGTTTAACTGGAACAGATATGTATCTTCTTCGTACATTATATCCTAGCGTTTACTTTCAAAAGTTTTAACTGTAAGTAGATTTTCCATATTAATTTTATGATAGAAATAGCCTCTTGAGGAAATATTTTTTAGCATCTAAACTGAACCGTGTGTATTTGAACACTTTTATTTTGGCATTGCACAAGTTCATTCTTTTTTCATACTGTATTTACACTAAATCCGTTGGACGTGTCCTGATTGATACACTACTCTGGGAGAATATGAAATATTTATTGGTTGTAATTGTCTTTGAACTAGATTTCAGTAATTACTTTTAGATCGGTACTTTGTGTCTTTTGTTTTTATATAAGTTTGTTTGTGTTGGTGCTACGTGCCAATCTGATGAAACAAGTCATTTCAAACTGTTTTATTATACAGTTAAATATTATGTCGTGCTTTTACAGCACTGTCTCAGGTCATTCTAGTCGTGACGGCCCCAAGTCAGGAGCCTGTAATTCAGAGGTTATCACATTCAAATAAATAAAACTGTTGTTAAGTTAGGCAAACTTTAAAATTATCTTTGTTTCCCCTTCCCGACTGAGGTTTTCAGGGTATGGGTAGGTAGGTTGGCAAATTATTTTATTTTATTCCTTGATATGGTTTTCTATATTGAATTTGTACAAAGTTCAAAGTAGATAGATTTTAAAGCATGATTCAGACCATTTTTACTCAAAGATTATATCCTTTATACAGGAACAGAGGTTAAAGACCAAGCAAATCAAGATGCATGCACTCAGTGGGTTGAAAGATGCTTCAGTTTTTTTTTTTAAGATACCACATCATTGAACTATATATATATATATATATATATATATATATCATTAGGTATTTTCTAAACCATGTTTTTCTTAATTCTAAATAAAGTTTTGATGTACTTTTAAAATTTGTCACATTCTAACTTAATTATATAACTTTATTGAACATGTTGAGATATGAACACAATACATGACTAGACATATTCTCAAGTGACTAGAATCAAACAGGATCTTTCTTTGAACTTCAAAACAAAGTATATCAAAACCATATTTTAAAACATTTAAAAATAAAGTCTTCAATAAGATAAAATTTCAGACAAAATTATGACAATGAAGTAAAACGTTTTCAAGTTTGACAGGGTCACTATTCTCCAATGTTGACAGCTTTGCCGAAAAGTTGCCATTCGTTAAGGCATAATCAATAGGATCATCAACCTCAGCATCTCCGATTGCTTCGTCCATGATTTCACTGATCGTTTATTTGGGGCTTATCTTCAAAATTTTCTTACTACAGTAGACTCCGGCAAGTCGGATACCCAAAATGCCAGCCAAAAATATCACATTATCCGATAGATTCAATTAGACGATAAATGTATATTCATTGAATATTCTGCAATAATGAGTTGACCTAATCCTGAGATGTAACTAGCCCTGGCCACTGCTATATATATAAAAGGGTTGGAGTTATTTTTATAAAATTCATCACTACGATGCTTGTGTAAAAAATTTATCAGCTGGTTATGTAATCCCTTATGAAAAGTGAATGTTTGCTGCAACCTTGCGGTAAGGTTGCAGCAAACTTGCCGCAATCCTTTTAGTTCGCCAGAAGACCTGAAAGTTGTTCACCAGTGTTCGCCGCTAGCAGCGACCTTTCGGCAAACAAATGTAAAAGATTACCGCAAGCTCTTTACTTTCTTAAAATTGAAGGAACTTTGTAAACAGACTTTACAGCAGGTCCCAAGTTTGCTGGAACTTCGCCGCAAACTTTATAGCATGCCTTTACCATTATATGTAGCTTATTTCCAACACTGCATGAGCATGCTCCATGCACTAAAAACAGACTTCCTGCTTCTTTAAATTTGAAATAGGAGGGAAGTTATAATGTCGGTGTTTTCATGTAAAAAGTAAATGGATGTTATATATAATAGATGTCTGAGTTATATATAATTCAATTAGTTCCTGGAACAGGCCATACATCATTGATCATCTCTCTGTAAGTTATTTTAGACAATTTAAATTGATAAGCAATATTATTGTTACAATAGTTATGTCAAATAACCCCCATTTTTGACATTAACAATTGTGTTACTCCCTTACTCATGTTAATTTTAAATTTCAGATATTTGACATCAATGGAGTAAGAACGGAATTAGAATACAAAATAAAGAAGAAATGTTTGTTCTTTTATATCAGCGAATACCTTTCGGGCTGAACATTGTTTTTGGACCTTTAGTATCATATTTGGCTATTTTGATGAACATAATTGTCTGTTGGACACTTACTTCGAAAAAACTTATATCAACATCGACAGTACTCATGCAGGGATTAGCACTTGCCGATGGTCTCACTGCCTTTTTTCTTTATGGCATTGAACCTATTTTCGCCCCGTTTTACAGATATATTACAAGCAAAGTTGTTGATTTACCACCCCCGTATTGTATCATACACTACTGGACCACACCAATGGCTGATAATTTTCATTTGACGTCTGTACTGCTAACAACGTGTCTAGGTTTACAGAAAATGATCGCCATTGCGTTTCCAATATGGGCTCGTTCAAACATGTCGCCAAAGATATCTGCAATAGTATGCTGTGTATGTTTCTTTTTTTCACTCTCAATACATCTACCTCGAGCATTATTGGTTCAGTTCGGTGAAGCACAAAACGATATATGTAAAATGCTAAAGCCAACAGAAGAATTAGAAAGTTACGCCCTGACATCGTACCCACTCCTCTACACTGTGTTGTTGGCATTAGCAGTGGCAGCTATGTTAACTTCTACTGTCTATATAACGTATAAACTATTTAAGCGGAAACAACTGAGAGGAAAGAATACATTTTCAAAATACGAAAGAAATTCCTGTATACTGATCCTTTGTGTACTTGTAGTTTTTGTAGTGTCAGAATGTCCTCGGCTTTACATCAATGGAACGGTCTCTAATACATACTGGGAAAGAACAGATAAAACGTCATACATTAGGAAAAAAGTTCGGACAGATATAGAAAGAGATGCACACGATTGTTTGCAACGAATGACAACACGCATAGCGATGGATATAGAAACCGGGTGTTCTAGTCGGAGCGGTTCTAGAGAAGAAGACGACTTAAAAAAGGAAAGGGTAGCTAAACTTCTAGAAAATATAATAGCATTTTCAACAACGGATAAACACACAACCCAGTTTGACCGAAGCGTGCACATGACTAAAAAAATGTCCATTAGACAGCGATATGACAACATTTTAAATTCAACACTGATAAATCCTAGTTTTTTCAAAGGTACAAGTCAAGATCTTATGACCGAAATTGTAGTATCAACGTATTGCTCCATGATCGTTAATACAGATGATCGAATCGCACTTGCAGCTTTCAATAAAAGTTGTACGAATGCATCTGAATTAACCATGGGCTTGTCAATATTTAAATTTATGAAATATGACATCGATAAAGTATTTGCAAGCAGAGCCCGCAATTCTGTCGTTCAGGGTTACAGTGAACTGATAAATCAAGTTATTTCAAATCTTACCGATAACATGAAAATTAAGGCTATTACTGAGGATGAAGTCGCTAGTGTTTGGACACTATGCATGGACTCAACTTTTTTCCATTTTTCAGAATACACCGAGTGTTCTATTGGTCTGTACAAGTCATTACTTGACCATCTATTATCATTAATACTGGCTTCCTCGCCGTATACAGAACAGATGAATTACATGATAAATACCGTCATAGACTACGGAGATGCCGATTTAAAAGATCTGAAACTATTCATTGAAATTATAAAACTTTTCACAGTGATTGCATGTGCCTCTAATTTTGTTATTTACATTGCAATGAGTGCAAAACTCAGAAATGAAATGCGTTTAATGATTTTGACGTGCGTGTATTGCAAACAATATAAGTGCATTACTGAAAAAGATCAACGAGAACAACATTCCACAATCCATGACTCAATCCCACTATAAGTCATTTGAAGAATGAACGAGTTTCTATTGTCGTAACAGTAGCCTTAGACAAGTGTTCCTTATTTATATTTAACTTTCTTCTTTTTTAACTAACAAAAGAGAAACATGTAATTGACTGATTTGACAGTCAACTTCCATTGCTATTTGACATTCGGCTGATTAATTGGGTATTCGACTTTTTTTTCTTTATTAGACAAGACGAATGTGTAATAGTTGCTAATTTGACATTCATTTTGTTTTCATTTTGATATTTGAAAGACAAATACATGCAAATATTCCAGTCTTGTTTGCCATTTTATATTCTTCCTATACTACTATTCTAACATTTGAAAGACACACAAGTAATTATAGTTCATTGGTTGACATTCATCTTTTGTTAAAAATTTACTAATTTGACAATCCCTTCAATTTTTTTCCCCTTCTCTAACAGTTTTTAAAAAGGCTAATAAGCAAGTGTTCCTTGGTTGACATTCATCTTCTATTCTTTCATTCTTTTTGTATAGAAAGACGAATAAACAACATTTGTTACTTGTTGGTCTTTCTCATTTTACATGTCTGGTTAATCTACGGACTATATAAATCTGGAAAATATTCTAGACAATAGTTCATTTTCCAATTACCTACGTTTTTTTCCTATTTTCGATTTTTTCAAACAGAGACAAATCCCAGGTCAAACAAACTATTCCCCTGTCTATACAATCTTATGAAAACATTTTGTTCCTACTTAAAAAAATCAATTCGTAATTACCTATTTTTGCAACCCATTTTTACAATGTAATGCAATTTCGAAGTAAAAATTATTGTCAAAACCGCAAAAAACACCATCCTCATTCAATAGAGTTTATTAGACAGGGACACAGTTTGCCATACCCATGAGTTATTCCCCTGCGCAAAAAAAAAAATTGTCGGCAATTTAAAAATGAATAATTTACTACATATCGAGTTTGGCATACAACAGTTCTTTAGGCTAGCTTTTTCACGTTGGTCTTTGATCAGTTATTGACGTTAATACTTTGTCCAGTCAGAGGTCAAAAGTGTTTCACACTCCAAAATTACGCTACATATTCATATGAAACAAATTTTTAAAGTTATTTCCTGTCCGATTTGAATGGAGTTTTTACAATCAAATACAGAAATATCTGCATTTTGTATGTGCGTTTTATGTTCGTGGTATTCTGAAGTTTCACCTGGTGGTACCTTAAAAGACTTTCATGTAAGTGTGAAGTCTGACACCATAAAACCGTATCTAGTATACATGTATTTTATAAATACATCAGCCTACTAAACAAATGAACCTAGATAGCACAATTACCGACCAGGAATACGAAAATAGTTGTTTCATGAATTGTTGTTGATTAAATGTTTTCCCGTTTTCGCCAGATTTTTGTATTATAGGCCCTACTACTGACCTATGCCGTAGCAGTTCATTTAGTTTTTAAATTTCATTATGTTTTTTAAATATTGTCTGTTACTATATAGAAGGTTTTTATGGTCAACTGCATAAACACCAAGATTTTTTTATTAGTGTACTAAATAGGGACAGCAATTGACGGTACCAGTTTCATAGGTCTTTTGTGCAAAGTGGGCTACACTATCGATATAAAAGAATAATAAAACATAATTTGATTATTGTTTTTAACTTTCCTATTAAACCAGACAAACAAATTGTTTATCGGATAAATGGTTGACAGAGTAAAGGGGCGTATGATATTTGCGCCGATTTTATAAATTTTCCTTTTCATTTGCGCCGATTTGGTTGTTTCATTTGCGCCGATTCAATAATTTCAAGTTCCATTTGCTCCTTTTTGCATTTTAGTGCTGTGCTTTTTTCATGGCCTACTTTAACATATAAACTAGGCAGCAGTTTCATGGCATAAAGAGATTTTATTGTCCTTTGATATTTTAAAGGCTGTAAATAGATTTTTATATCGTTTGATATTTTATTGCTATAGTTATTTTAGTGGATGTAAACAGAGTGCTTTTAACCTTAGAATTGACTTGTTTTCCTCGAAATCCTACTTCCACCTCCCCATTGTGGGCAGGGGGCAACAGTTGTTTTAATTGATAATTCATAACATATGTATAACTGGCTAGCGGAAGAAGTTTATAATGATAAATAAAAATAGTTTCCACCTGTAATTTACCTGTAAACCAATTGGCCCAAATGAAAGAAATAATCGGCGCAAGTGAAATGCAGATCGGCGCATGCAAAACGCCGGAGTAAAGGGTTGTATTGCCAATGGGTTGTCAGAATGGACTATTGGACACACCCCAATGTAGGTCATTTTTTTACCTATCTGCGACTCTCTCGTACTAACAAATAAAAAGTATAAAAGTGTATTCATTGCAACAGGGTAGCAGTTCGAATTAACACAAAGTATCAAACAACTTACCTGATCGAGACATATCTATATTAATGAGGACATACGTCATGGTACATAGACATGTATACTGTTTACTTTTTTCGAACTTTGAATCTAAATTTAAGACGTCACAAAATTTAATGTGACGTCAACACTATATATAGCGTCGTTCATATTCCCGTAATACGAATACCACACGTGAACGATCGTTGATGATTGGTTGATTGTGTTTTGCTAAACGTCCAGTGACAAGTACTTTATGATTATTTAGGACGAGTGAACGATCAAAGATACCGACAAAGAAATACAAGATGAACTGTTTTCTTTTCAATTTGAAAACTGCTTGGAAATATGTTGAATAATATACTTTTTTCTAAATATTCGTCAGGTTGAGAGTCACTTTTGTGCATAGAAGGTTGGCACTACAAGCTCATCGGGGTCCTTACTGAATTAAGAATAAAAGGCTGGTCTATGTATCACATTTTAATTATTATATAGTGTATATAACGTAAATCATAGTAGACACTCTAGTACATTTGTTTGCTCTTCAAGTGCCATATTATTGGAATAAATTATTCGTTAGTTTATGAAAATATTGATTCTGACCCTCATGCAAAGCTATAGATCTAGTATATTGTTTTGTGGAATAAATGGGGAAAAAATGAGAGAAAAAAAAAACATAGTTGGAGGTGCTAACATAAATAATGTTGTCCCTGTAAAGTGGGTGACGCATATTCGCCGTGGACACATTTTCGCCGTTTTTGCTATTTTATTCTTTAAATTTCGTGTGCCTTTACCCAATACTTGCCTAAAAAGATGATAAACGCTGTTTGTAATGTTTGAACTGTTGATATACCTCTTTATCCCATTTCCAATGTTATTCGCACATATAAAGAAATACGCAGGTGTTTTTGAACGATTTTGGCAATTATGTAAGATTTATATGGCACGCATGCGCAGTCATAAAGTAAATATCTGTTAGAAAAATCGTATAGGAATGATCTCTCAAGCTAATTCATGTAATTGCAAACAATTGTTTTTATAATATACAAGGATAATGGGGATGGTCATATCATACATTGCGGCGAAAATGTGTCCACCGTGGTTCAAGAACAACTTGATTTCCTCTTGAGTTTGCGTTCATTTTTAAAACATATAACCAATGTTTTGAAGAGAATTCCTTTATCAAACATTTTTTTCATATAATAAACTTTCTGAAACCTACATAAAAAGTTTCAACTTCGAATTTAGGTCAGATGTAGGTGGAAATGAACGAATTTTGCGGCGAATATGCGTCACCCACTCTATGTCCTAATTTTTATTATTTTGAATTTTACTTTCCTCTATAATGTCTACTTTTCATTTTTTGTATTGCAAAAAAAAAGAGAAACAAATAATAATAAAAAAGGCATTATATAGACATTAAACAAGCTTATTTGATAAATGACCCGAGCTGTGCTCGTGAGTATCCATTCATAGAAGATTCGATTCATTTTTTTCTTAGAATACAATCCACTCTACACAAATTCTAGAAATGAGTTATTGAACATATTTAACACTTATTTTTAATTTCCATAGAACGAATTTCATTTGGAACATACGATTTGGATGTTAAACAAAACACAATCCTTTATAAAATATCCATTGTTACATACGCCATACAAAATGATTCTTCGATTGATATTGTTGTATCTTATGTACTCGTATCAAGCAGTCTCATTTCCGAACCAAACTTATAGTTTATGTTTATCCATAATTTATCTTTTGTATATATCTTTCTAATTGTACTTCAATATATATTTGCTGTCATCTTCAATTTTTGTATTTTTTTTTAAATTTTTGAAGTGGATTTTTAAGTTGTTTACTTGTATCGTTAGACAATAAAATATGTTAACTATTAAAATAAATTCGACTATCATTTAATTTGTTTGCTATTCATGTACTATCACAACGGTTTTTGAAAGAGGCTGACAGAACACTCGACTGTGAGAAAATGGCCTATTTGTAGAAATCAAAGATTATTTTTTTAGTGAGCTTTCAACAGTTTGTTCCATATTTACTGATCTGAAATGATATACAATTGAACTTGGTTCCGGGCTCTCAACTAAAACTACTACAGTCTGTTCATATCTTGCTTAGTATCATATCATATAGTGTAAAAATAATATAGAAAAAAATGCTTACATCCACTTCATTTGAACTTTGGTGGATAGTTGTCTCATTGGCAATCATACCACATCTCCTTATTTTTATATTAGTAAAAAATGGTTCAACTGTTAAATGATAATGAAAAAAAACATATTTCAATAATGAATTACTTTTGAAACGGATGCTTTCATTTAACATTTAAAAAAAATAAAAAGGAGACACCGATCTCGTTTGTCTAGGCATTCGAAACTACCGTAACATGCTAAATTTCACTGACTGGCGAATAATGAAAAATAACAATCAAAAGTTAAAAACAAATCTGGAAGTATAATGTGCAAGTAAAGTAAAATTCATCATAATTGACATATACATTTTCAAATAAGCAATGCTAATTAAAAAATTTAATTGAATATGTTCCTTATGTTTTTTTTATGTACATGATCTAATGTATAGAATGGTGAAATTCAATTGGTCTTTTTCTTAACGAAATGGAAATTGTTTTGTATATGCAAATCAATACAGTGTATACCGTGGTCGAAAGATGTCAAATCTGATTTTTTTGGTGGACATATTCCAATTGCTGCCATCAAGTTAATCAGTTGCCTGGTTAATGATCCTAGTCGCCTTCAAATCAGTCCCTTCATCTAAACTAAAAACAGAAAATTGCACAAAAATTCAAATACAACTAGATCTGTCTGCATAGCGGGACTATAACCTTACACACATTTTAATTGCTCCTGTGAAATTCAGTATTGAGGCAATGACGTTTTGAAATTTTTGGATTTCAGTCATTCATTTTATATAATCATTGCCTCTGTGTTCGATTGACATATGGTCACTAATAGGTCAATCTGAAAGAATTATACTGACCCAGGAAGAAAGTCTGAGTTTAGTAAACTGTTAATTCTGAAATTAAACGACAGAGTGACCAGACTTCGATATATGACCCCCCCTCCCCCCCAAAAAAAATAAATCCCATGATGTATCAGCATACCAGTTTAGTCAACCTCAGTTCCATGGTATAAAAGTTATGCACAGGGCACAAATCAGACAAGGTTTTACTATCAGAGGGGTCAAAAGTCACAGAGACCTGACTTTGGTATATGACACACACCAAGCCCATGATGTAACTGCATACCAAGTTTTGTTAACCTAAGTTTTATGGTTCAAAAGATATGAGCCGGACACGAATTGGATAAAGCTTTACTACTATAGAGATAAAAGGTCAAAGTCAAGGCCAGAGTGATCTGACTGGTATATGACACACCCTACGCCCTTGGCGCAACTGCATACTAAGTTTGGTTAACCTTAATTTTATATGTACAAAAGATATGAGCCAGACACAAATTTGACAAGGTTTAACTGTCATAGGGGTCCAAGGTCATGGTGACCTGACTTTGGTATATGACACACCTCCAGCCCATGATGCAACTGCATACCAAGTTTGGTTAACCTACGTTTTACGGTACGAAAGTTATGCACCCGTCACGGACAGACAGACTCCTATACCCCCCTTCTCCCGAACTTTGTTTTCGGGGGACAAAAATACAATGAGGACCAATTGCTTAAGATGAATGGTTAATAATAATTAAACCATTGTGGTGACGTCAGCCTATTCATTTACAGTGTATTCTTTTTCTAGAATCAACGCATCCTAAATCTGCCGCTGAAATTGACTCACCAAATTATATTCAATTGTTTCCTATTTCATTAAGTTTGAATTGGCTAATTTACTGATGTCTGTTCACTAATGGAATTAATTTAAAAACTTACCTTTAGTTTTTGTAATTTTTATATGCCTTCACTGGGAATCGAACCCTTCCTTGAAATCTGTTATGTGTGACTGACATTAACACACCGACGAAACCTCTCGGCTACCAATGGGTTACCCTATAGATGTTTATTTTATATATTTAAATGAACATCTGATATACATCGGTTCATCGGACACACAGTGCTTGTACCTTTATATAGACACAATAGGCATTCGTATAGTAGAAGTTGGTAGCCGCGAGGTTAGCATGGTTAAAATCAATGAGTTAAAGATCGGGATTTGTCGATTTAGGTTCGAATCCCTGTATTCTCTCTGTTGTTCCAATTCTTAAGTTATCCTGGTTTTTTTTCTAATTTTTTGCAAGTTATAGTGGATATTTTTGTTATAATAGCGAGTTTTACCGGTTTTTTTTTATTATTATTATTGACTATTTCACATGTTTGAAATAAAAATGATTACATTCTATTTGTCAATTTTTGTTTTATAAATATAGTATGATTTCATCTGTTTTACTACATAATTTTACAAAGGTTTGTTCGCAAATTCCTATGCGAGAAAATCGTGATGTGCCTAGAGTGCTAGAAAAAAAAATTCGATAACATACTTATTATATATACTTTATATATGCTTTTTAATCGGGTTGTCTCTTTGGCACGTTCCCCATTTCCATTTTCAATTTTATTAGAAATAATTTCGAATATGTCTTATTTTGTATAAACAGATAATATTCATATGCCTGGTAATATAAAGATCTTTAAAGGTAGAAGTGTTATATTTGTATTTTGTTAACCAATTAATTGTGATCTTAGATTTATCAATGCATCGTTGGACACGATAACATGGTTATTTAAACTCACTTACAATACCTTCTAATCAAGAAAAGGCTTTAATTTTGAAAAGAAATTAACACAATAGTTTAAGTTATAGATACAATGGATAAGAGTAGATTCATGAAAAATAAACCATTCGCCCTCCGGGCTCATGGTTTCTTTTTCAAGAATCCACGCTTATCCATTGTATCTATATAACTGAGACATGGCCGGGATCATGACGTAAAATAGAAATTTTTACCCGCTTTCAAGCAATGCCCAATACAGTTTTTAACTTCCTGAAAGACAAAATATCTTGAACTTTTATTCATATATATAGGTGATATGTAATGAAATGTAAGTTCCTTAATAACATTAGTTCCAAATGGAAGAAATATTCTGTAAGATTTTTTCCACTGGAACAAATATTACAGAATTTGTCCCTCACGGAATAAAGGGCATATATTATTTGTTCCAACTGGAACAGATATTATGATCATATTATGGCTTTGTTTATAACAAAGTTTCCAGGGGAACTTATGTTAGGCAGAAAAAATATACTTTGACACTGACTACGTACGTACGTATTATGAACCTTTAAAAGTTACGTGATACTCAGAAAATGTAAAAAAAAACGTACATTCCATGAGATACCATGGCAACAATTAATGGCGAAAACAAGAAAACATGGATGAGTCAAGTAAATAATAGCGAGATGAAAAGGTTATAAGAGGAATGCACAAAACTGAAAACTGTTTGGCACTAACTGGTTTCCATAGGTAAGAAATTTTGGGTGTATATATATATATATAGACGACTTTAACCCACGGTGATAACGATATTGAACATGACAGGTAAGGTGGCTGTGGTCACTGGTGCTGCACGAGGATTGGGGAGAGCATTTACCGAAGCATTACTGAAAAGAGGAGACAAGGTAAATGTTGGTTAACATCGTAACGTGTTTGTTTATAAATCGTGCAATATGACCTTTGTCAAAGGTCAATATTTCGTACTATAGGTTCAAAGATTATACATTCCCAAAATAATCTCCCCACAATTATTAATGGAATATTGAAAAGCTACATATAGCCAAATCTCGAGAGCAAGATTGATGCTGGTGTTGCTTTGTCATAATACATAATTTGATTCGTCTTTAATTGTCGTATACATTTTCAATAACTATATATATTTGACACCTTCAGTTTACAGGTGAAACTGAGGGGTCGTCTCAAAGATTAAATCATTCAAGAAAAACTACATTTTCATATAAATTTGATAAAACGGTATTTGGCTATTTTGATAAAGAAATGATGACTAGCAACTGCATAATAGTATATATTATTGTTGTTTTCTCTCTGTCATAAGATACTTTATTCACAAATTCTTAAAACTTCTCATGAATATATAGATCTTCGAGTAAATAATTACTGCAATCAATACGTTTGATTTTTATCATTTTCATTACCAGAAATACTCTTTTACTATACGCCGATTTCTCACGTCATTTAAACGTTTTATGGGCTAACTGGATCCCTGCATCTCTGATCTGATAAAGTAATTGTGACTGCTTGACATTATTCAAACACCCGTCTTTATTCTTATGTACATAATCCAACTCTGCCTTAAAAAATATATTGATTTTATCATTTAAAAACAGTTATTGAAGCATTTATAAGGAAGTTATCCCCATTAGAATATTCATCCCTTAGCTCAACGTCCTGACGTGATTTTATGCCCGACAAACACACAACTGACGTCAAATAACGTCACCTAAAATCAAACACTTTGACGGAAAGATAACTGTTGGCATCAAGCGTATTGACATCCGAATCCGCATTTTTTTCTACAATTAAATGATTATAACTATTTAGATGTACCCTTCTTCCATGGTGCTATCCTCTCGCAACGTAGTGGTTACTGTAACAGGACCGCCCGTCAAGGTTTTTGTCCGCAAATAACACGCTTTGTCGTTAACTTATTGACACCGTTGGAGCCATTGACGGAGCATCAACGCAGATTTAACGCGGTCCGCAAATCGAACCACAGGAATTATTATTCCGGACATGGACATTTTATGCCATGCATTACAGGTGCAGTTATAGACCACACGGGGTATATTTACTATACTTGAAGTGTGGTTTTTTGTAAATCAGATCGATGCCTAACAATTCACACTGATGTCTCGAATTAGAAGAGATGTTCCGCTATATTTGACAGAAGTCTATTCCACTGGGATTAAATATACTTAAAATGTCCACTCTTTGGTCACATGATTTAGATATATCAGACCGGCGAACCATAAGGTGGAAAATTTGCAGCGAAAGTCTCAACTTAATCATACTGTCTCTGAATACAGATTTCTAGCTGAACGTGTCATTGGAGAATTAAAAAAAACTAAAGTAGTGGGTAACTTATGGAGGTTTACGGGGCCAAAATTATTAGACATTGTAGAGACATGTGCTGTCCTTGTTAATAGACATAACAGTTTACTAGTATTTGATTAAATATTTTCTAATTTTTCAATAACCCTTTGTTTATCAAGGAAGCTTGAAGCTCACCATTTATAAGGATGACATAAAATTGAAACTCTTCGTTTCTTCAGACTCAATTAAAAACTGAAGGTGAATATGATTTATTTATAATAGTCGTACCGTTCCACAGTCATTTTATGTTTATTTTTAAAGAGATATTTATATTTATAATGTCTCACTAAAAAAACCAAATAGATAAAAGAAATATTTTTCTTCAAATCCATTTAACTTTAAATAAGGGAAAACTGAACTTTTTTGCACAAAATAAGAGCTTGAAAATGTACAAAAATAACCAAACCGGTAAAACATATTACAATTATGATCACGATAAAAGAAATGTCCAACTGTTCTGCGTTCGACTGTACATGGGCATAGGACAATAATTGTTATTAACAAAGTGATAACGAGGCATGCAAATACGTTAAAACGAGCAATTACTAAAACAAAACAAAAAATAAATAACTAAAACCCCAAAAAAATAAAAACACAGAAAGTAATGTTATAAGATATGTAAATTACCAAAAGGTAAGGAAGGCATGTGCAAGATAACATTACTGTGTAACGATAAATGTACAGTCTATAATGTCTTCCCTCTGCCTATATTAATCTGCTCTTCATAAACTTTGAACTAAATTTATGTACAAAAGAAATATGATATACAGCATTAAACGACAACCACTCAATTGCAGGCTCAAGACTTGGGACAGGCATATACAGAATGTGGCGGGGTTAAACTTGTTAGCCGGTGCTTAACCCTCCCCTTAAACCTAGGACAGCGGTACAACAGAACGACACAAGAACAAACTGTATAAAACAAATAAACAAAAAACAAAAATGATTAACAGCAACAAACGACTTGCAGGATTCTGATGTGGGATCCTGACTTTAAATAAAGCTAATACTAATAACGAACACTGCCCTTTCTTGGATCTTGATATCTATATCTTTAACAGGAAGCTTAATACCAAAATTTATGATAAAAGAGATGATTTTTCATTTCCTATTCTTAATTATCCATTTTTAGATGGTGACGTTCCCTTGTCACCATCTTATGGTGTTTATATATCTCAACTTGTTCGATTCGCTCGTGTATGTAACAACGTATTTGATTTTAACGAAAGAAACCTCTGTATTACTGAAAAATTATTACACCAGGGTTTTTGATATCACAAACTAGTCAAAATATTTACTAATTTTATCATCGGTACAAGGACATCATTCGTAAATATAAATCAACATGCAGACATCTTACACGTTCAGGTATTTCACATCCAATCTTTTATGGTAATATTCTATACAGAGCACAAAACTGTCGACATTCACCTCAAAAGCTATCAAAACCTTTAAACAGACTTATTCAGAAGGGATATAGTTACAATACTGTTGTCAGGTCATTAAAGATGGCATATTTTGGTATTAATATTGATTCACTCCTAGGGTCTTTGCATCGGAAATAAACACATTTATTCTAAAACCAGTTGTTGGCATGATACGGTTTATATTCTTCTCATATATTTTATGATGGTATGATCCTAAAATCCTAACGGGAGCTAGGGATTGTGCTTGATTTTCATATGATGAAAACATAATCTTTCAATCAGTTTAATTGAGGTCTGGAGCTGACATGTCAATAACTGCTAGTAGTTCTTTGTTAATTTATGTTTCATTGTCATTTTGCTTACTAGTTTCTTTTGTTACCTTTTCTGACATTGGACTCGGACTTCTTTTAAACTGAGTTTTACTGTGCGTATTGATGTGTGTTTGTTTATTCTACATTGGCTAGAGGTATAGGGGGAGGGTTGAGATCTCACAAAACATGTTTAACCCCGCCACATTTTGCGCCTGTCCAAAGTCAGGAGCCTCTGGTCTTTGTTAGTCTTGTATGTTTTTTAATTTTAGTTCATTTATATGTTTTGGAGTTTAGTATGACGTCCATTTTCATTGAACTAGTACACATTTTTTGTTGAGGGGCCAGCTGAAGCCCGCCTCCGGGTGCGGGATTTTCTCGCTGTGTTGTAGACCCATGGTGGACTTCGGCTGTTTTCTGCTCTTTGGTCGGGTTGTTGGCTCTTTGACACATTCCCCATTTCCATTCTCAATTTTACATATAGAATATGGCGGGGTTAAACATGTTTGCACCCAACAACCCCCCCCCCCCCTAACTTGGGACAGTGGTGTTACAGCACAACATAAGAACAAACAATTACAATCAGTTGAAAAGAGCTTAATCCATCAGAAAGATACAAGGCCCAAAAACAACTAACAAAAACACTAAAAGTACCGATCTGAGAGAACTCGCAGTTACTGAAAGCAAATTCAAAGCGAATAACAACAAATAAAGAAATCATGGATCTAAGACTAAAATATCCATCCGTACACATCCAACATCCAAAGGATTTAGTGTAAAGACGCCTCTAACAGTCGGAGAAAAACACGATCTTGTGCTATGTCAAATCATAAAGGTATCGATAGAATGTATGCCCATTTCAACTTGCTAGGTCGTTCCGTTGTTTTACATTTAAGTCTATTTTTTAAACCAAAGAAATCTGTCGAAAGTGTCGTCGGATGTGAAACAGTTCAGTGACCAATCAACGGACCTGATATCACCCTTGGTGTCTGTGTGCTTATATTTCCTGAAGCTTCTGTTTTAAGTGTGCCATGTTAATACGTATCGCTCTTTTTTTCACTTGTTTTTGTTTTAGATTTGTCGCGTATTGTCCTCGTAATTCCCTTTTCTTTTATAGGAAACAAATTGGACTATACCTTCTACAGTCTGAGATTCTTTGAATGAAGTGTTGCGTATCTGTTCACATTGAATATAAAGATTAAACCTTCTCGTCTTTAGGTATGCTTTTGTGATGTCGATGTACAGCAAGGGAAAAAAACTGAAACTGAATTAAAAAAGAATTTCGGAGACGATAATGTGCAATTTTTACCATGTGATGTCCGAAAAGACCAAGAATTTACAGGTAACAGGAATAAATGTGCAAAATTGGACAAGAGAAAAGATCAACAATTAGTCTTATATTTCAGTCACCCACTTATACCTGTAAATTCATGAAATTATTCTTCTGTTAAAGTAACTTATCTTGATCACTGGACTATAGAAAAGTTTATTTAGTTTGTCACTTTCAGAAGATTACCCCAAACTTTTCAGTCCACTTCTTCGCCACTGTATATTGGAGAATCCACATTTGATGTATAATTTCTATGAGTATAAAGGACCCTAAATAACCCGCATTGAACTCAGGTAATTCAGCTTGGTCAGTAGTTTCTGTTCTGTGCCATTAGTGACTTCTGCTGTGTAGTTCATGTTAAAATCCTGTAAGTTATAGTCAGTGTTAACGGTTCATTCCAAAGCATATGTCTCTTATCTATGCCAAAGACATTACGGTACCAAATTCATAATCTGAATTATCTTACCCTTAAACATTACCAAGATAAAAAATTTGTGAAATGATCATACGAACCGAGTCCATGATATAGAAAGTGATAAAAAAAACCTCATCAAAGATTCCAGGATTGTAATTGTGTACGCCAGGCGCCCATTTCGTCTACAAAACATCATCAGTGACTCTCGAATCCAAAACGTTATAAGGCCAAATAAAGTACGAAGTTGAAGAGCATTGAGGAACCAAAATGCCGAAAGGTTATGCCAAATACAACTTAGATAAATGGTAGTCACAAAACATCGAAAAATGAAATATTACAACAATCAACACAAAAAAGTAAAAAGACGAATTTAATCAATGATAATAAGATTTGACTTGAATTAGTGATCATGAATACAGAATTCTGTGATCACTCTTTCAGAATGTATGATTAAAATTTCCTAAAATATTTTCACATACTGTATTTCAGATTTCTTCAACAGAGTGATCCATAAATACAACACCGTTGATATAATGGTCAACAACGCTGGAATTATGGATGAGAATCAATGGAGAAACACTGTTGATATTAATTTAGTGAGTTAGTAACTTTCGGTTTGGTTGGGACTTTATTGTATCTGTTTTCAGATGGGACAAGGAATGGTATACTTCAAATTAGATAACACCGTTACAAAGATTTCGTTGAACTGAATCCAAATAAGTATTAGGTTAGGGACCACCAATTAAGATTTGACATGTTTGGGAGAACATATCATACTTTTACATGTCAATTTTATAGTTTACATGTCAATTTTATAGTTTTCATGTCAAATTGCAAAGCAACGAATATTGTCTGCGAAGTGAATAGAAATACTCTTAATAAACAAAACTAATGACTTATGAAGACCCATTGGTGGCCTTCGGCTGTTTTCTGCTCTTTGGTCGGGTTGTTGTCTCTTTGACACATTCCCCATTTCCATTCTCAATTTTATTTTACTTATGGTGAACTTTAGGAGTTGCCGACTTTAGGGACAGGGGGCTTCTATTTTAAAATTCTGTCGCATGATTCGACTTAAATGTGTAATAAATAAATTATCTAGATCTATTTTTCCGCCGAAATAGCACATTAAAATTTCAGCAAAACATTTTATTTAAAAAGCATGGCATCAATAGATACATGATCTATAGCGTTGTTCCGTGTTAAAAATGTCTGTCCTTCGATCCCTTATCCCATCAGCTGAAAATTATATGATTGATACCTTATTAAAAACTTATATATTGCAGTCACTGATAAGAAATATAAGGAAATTAGAAATTAATCCATGGCATGGACTGATTTGATTTGAAACTTTAGCGAACTTTTTAGACAGCAATGATGCACGGGTATTTGTTGACAATGGATCATAGGACTTAAATAACTTTTCAGACCCCCATGATGCACGGGTGTTTCTTGACAATGGATCATATGACTTAAAAATAAACTTTTTAGACCACAGTGATACCCGGGTCATTGTTAGCAATGGATCATGACTTAAATAAACTTTTAATAAGATTGAGAATGGAAATGGGGAATGTGTCAAAGAGACAACAACCCGACCATAGAGCTGACAACAGCCGAAGGCAACCAATGGGTCTTCAATGCAGCGAGAAACTCCCACACCCGGAGGCGTCTTTCATCTGGCCCCTAAACAAATATGTATACTAGTTCAGTAATAATGGACGTCATACTAAACTCCAAATTATACACAAGAAACTAAAATTAAAAATGATACAAGACTAACAAAGGCCAGAGGCTCCTGACTTGGGACAGGCGCAAAAATGCGGCGGGGTTAAACATGTTTTTTGAGATCTCAACCCTCCCCCTATACCTCTAGCCAATGTAGAAAAAACAAACGTACAACAGTACGCACAGTAAAACTCAGTTTAAGAGAAGTCCGAGTCCGATGTCAGAATAGGAAACATAAGAAAATAAACAAAATGACAATAATACATAAATAACAACAGACTGCTAGCAGTTACTGACATGCCAGCTCCAGACCTCAATTAAACTGATTGAAAGATTATGTCTTCATCATATGAATATCAGGCACAATCCCTCCTGTTAGGGGTTTAGTATTATTCCATCATAAAATATATGAGAAGAACATAACCCGTGTCATGCCAACAACTGGTTTTAGAATAAATATATTTAATTCCGATGCAAAGACCCTATAAGTGAATCAATATTATAGCCAAAATATGCAATCTTTAATGACCTGACAATAGTATCGTAACTATATCCCTTCTTAATAAGTCTGTTTAAAGGTTTTGATAGCTTTTGAGGTGAATACTGGCATTTTTGTGCTTTGTAAAGAATATTACCATAAAAGATTGGATGTGAAATACCCGAACGTATAAGATGTCTGCATGTTGAGTTATATTTACGAATGATGTCCTTATACCGATGATAAAATTTAGTAAATGTTTTGACTAGTTTATGATATCGAAAACCCTGGTGTAACAATTTTTCAGTAATACATAAATTTCTCTCGCTAAAATCTAATACGTTGTTACATACACGAGCGAGTCGTACAAGTTGAGATATATAAACACCATAAGATGGTGACAAGGGAACGTCACCATCTAAAATGGATAATTAAGACAGGAAATGAAAAATCATCTCTTTTATCATAAATTTTTGTATTAAGCTTCCCGTTAGTGATATAGATATCAAGATCGAGGAAAGGACAGTGGTCATTGTTAGTATTAGCTTTATTTAAAGTAAGTTCAACAGGATAAATTTCTTTAGATACATACTGAAGTCGTCATTATTGAGAGCCAATATATCATCCAAATATCTAAAAGTATTGTTAAATTTTTGTATCAGATGTTGTTTCGATGGGTCTTTGCTGATTTTAGTCATAAATTGTAACTCATAACAATACAAAAACAGGTCCGCAATAAGTGGTGCACAGTTAGTCCCCATTGGAATTCCGATAACTTGACGATATACGGAATCTCCAAAGCGACCACAATGATACACGGGTTTGTGTTGGCAATGAATCATATGACTTTAATAAACTTTTAAGACCGCATTGATACACGGGTCTTTCTTGACAATGGATCATATGACTTAAATAAACTTTTTAGACCACAATGATACACGGGTGTTGTTGGCAATTGACCATATGACTTAATAAACTTTTAGACCCCCATGATACACGGGACGGGTCTTTATGGCAAGAAATCATATAATTTTAATGAACTTTTTAGACAGCAGTGATACACGGGTCTATGTTGGCATTGGAACATATGAGGAATAGAAGTAATAGTGGAGGTTTAATTTTGAATGTTTCATCTTTGGCAGGTAAGATCTATCATTATATACTAACTGATAATGAGAAATGTAAACAACTACGGACACACATAACCATGATCAAACAAGGGAGACAAGCAGTAGTTCATGAAAAATAAAGACATTAATAGGAACTGGACGTAAACTCGGGTGCATTGTAAAATAAGGCAGCTTCTACTTAACTAGTCTACATTTGATGACAAGGAATGAACGAGGAATGTATGACGAGATTGAGGCTCAAACATTTGCTAACATATTAGATGTTTGTTAAAACTTTCTGAGAGATGATGTAAACTACACATAGATAAGATTCAGATAACGATCGGTAAATATGCATTGTTTACACAAACAAGCGACACCGTCATCAAAGAATAAAGACAATGCGGTGGGAACGAAAGATACCTAAAACTCTTTCTTTTATTGAATTGATAAAACATATTTTAATCGTATAACATGACGGTAAGAGAGACCCAAATTAGTAAGTGTAATGTGATCTGATGTTAAGAACTTAATTCAGAAATGCATAATTTGTGAAATCAGCACTGTTTTCGATAGAATATCATTTACATGCATCTCAATTATATGTCAATATTTGAAGAAGAAAAATGAAAACAACACTTTATAAATTCCCGAAGCGCTCTTTTCTGGATTGTTTTTTTTTTCATCAGGAACGCTACCGAATATTTGAAAGTAGATAATGTATAAGAACCGCAATAGTTGAAGTAGCAATGAACAATTTTAAAATGCATATTCTGACAAAATTCAAAATTTTAATCTTAAGAGCCAGTAGTGTTTTCGCTATAGTAAATTGCATGATTCTGTGTTTCTCTAAAAAGAGAAAGTACTTGTATACCTCCTGTGTAATAAGACAGACAGCTAAATATACACTTTCGCCCACACACTATGCACACAACCAATAAACACTGTTTATTGTAGGCGTGATGCCAGTATCATTTTGTCCAGCATACACAGCATCAAAACATGGAGTTGTAGCGTTTTCAAGAAGCTGGGCTGTGAGTTTGTGATCTTTCTACTATCATACATACATTCAGACATTCAAACAGATAGACTTTTTATCGTCCCGATTCTAAGACATTAATGAATAAGTTACACAGAGACTATCAACGAACTGCCATCAAACATTGTCCAAAATGACACAAACATATTAAAATATGACAAAAGACAACCACTAAGTAGGTTCCTGACATGATACATGGGTTAAATTAGTTTTTATATATCTCAATATTCCCTTTTTAATCTCAAGTATTGACCTAACAAGAGGTAGTATAATAGTAAAACCACTTTTAAATAACGGTAAAATAATATTAAAAATCAAACAATAATAAACAATATTATACAGTATCAAAGACCAAAAATGTTAGCAGTTTCTGAATTTCAGCTTAAAATACTTTACATGCTGATACGAAATCATAGCACCCAACACTCTATTATAGATGACTTTAATTCATAGTAGATAACATACACAACGTCATAACCAGTACAAGAGCAACTCACAGAATATTTGGAACACAATTGCAGAAGACCAAAAGAAACATTGAGTCTTTTTTAAAAGATAATTGAGCGAATAGACATTCACCCCCCAAAATAACAGACACTATGATTGACCAACAACAGTATAACCATAACATGTTTCAATTACAGTGAATGGTGAAACATTGGTTTAAAATTTAAAAAAATATGGAACATAGTTTACTGTATGATACCTATATGTGTACCAATACATGTTTACTAATAATATCGAATGCTAATATTCATCCATACATTATATTTTCAAAAAGCTGAAGATTCAAAATTCAGATGTAAAACTTAACTTTTTTTATCAATACCGTCAAGCAATAACTTTGTAAAAGCTTTATAAAATTTTGGAACACAAATAGAACAGATACAAAAAAGTAGTGAATAAGATACTTATTTCAAACTAAAAACTTAGTTTTCTAAGGAGAAATTGATCTATTTTTGAACAATCTTCTATTGAAGAGAAGTGCCATATTTAAAATCAGATTGACAATCAGTGCCCATGATCTCAAAATAAAAAGAGACAGATATAAACTTTATATATAGAAAGAGATCAGAGGCTTAGTAAGAAATGTACTTTTAATTTGGTTGAAGATGATCAACATTTTATTATTAGTTGTCGAGCATACAATGATGATAGAGAGATATTTTTCAAAGAGATAAACACAATTGTCATAACTTTTCAGATCTCTCAAATGGGACAAAATTTGTTTGGTTATTTACTAATAAAATTTTTTTGTCTTAAAGTATTCAGGGGATTATATCATTAAATGTCTAGATGTTAATTAAAATACCTAATAACAATTATTGTAACGATTTTAAAGGTTCTGGTCCTGCCTGGAATAAAATGTACATGCTATATATAAGATGAAGAAATATATGTAGGTTTTTAACTATATAAACATTTTATATTTCATTTCAATGTAAATTTCTTTTATAAGATAATAGTGTATTATTTTGTGTGTATAAATGTCATGCTGCCCATCAATGGCCCTTAATTCAAACAATATATATTCTTATTCTCATGATTTGATAAAACTTCATACAAATTCGCAATAGACTACATGGAATTATACGTTGATAAACACAATAAAGTTCACATAATGTTCGCTAAAGTTTAGTTTTAAGAGGAGAAAACCAATCTCTATTTCCAATAGTACATTTCAAGTGTTATGTTTCCAGCTGCACCCAGAAGTCAGAAAGAAAAGAATTAGGATTGCATGTTTATGTCCAAGTTTTACAGATACTGATATTATTAAAGGCACTGATGATAGAGTACATGGAACAGAACTAGCCAGGATGGTTATGAACTCATATGGATTAATGGTGTAAGTAAAAGAGTATATGATCAGATGACGTCACAAGGAAACTGTATATCAGTAACTGCTAAATATTCAATGTTGTGTAAACTTTTTTGTCTTATTGTTTTATTTTTTGGTTGTTTACTGTATTGACAACATCCAACATGTTCATTTTCTGTTTCTTTTCGTTTAGAATCACTGTAGATTATCCTTTCAACATTTATTTTATTTTTCTCCTTTTAGTCACTCTCTAAATAAGACACGTGACTTCCAAGTAAAAAAAAACAGTTTTGAGATTATGTAAACGACCAAGAAGCTACCGTCTATTCCTGATTAGTACATCAATTCAACCAAAAAATTAGAAATGACTAATTTAACTTTATAATACCAATAATGATTTTGTAAATATGAAACAACGATAGTTTACCGATGTTCAAATTCATAAATCTATTTGGAATATACCAACCTAGAAAAATACCTGAGGTGATTGCATGAACTTTAAACGAGACTAGGTGTGTCAAAAGTGTAAGAGTTTCTTGCCATGCGTGACTCATGCACTTGCCATGGGACTTCAAAAAGTCAGTTAAGAATTCCACGAGAGGAAATAGGATAAAATTGAGAATGGAAATGGGGAATGTGCCAAAGAGACAACAACCCGACCATAGAACAGACAACAGCAGAAGGTCACCAACAGGTCTTCAATGCAGCGAGAAATTCCCGCACCCGGAGGCGTCCTTCAGCTGGCCCCTAAACAAATATATATACTAGTTCAGTGATAATGAACGCCACTTGCAATTTCAGATCAGACATCTTTTCTGGTGTCGTAAGTGTACGACAATTAAAATATGTCTCTCGTGAATTGAAACATTGTATCGGTCAACCAATTAGTGATGGTGACCGTAAAAATTGTAATGCAAGTCAGTCGTTCGTCCTCATAATACTACTAGACGAGGTTTTGCGTAAGAAGCGCTTCCTTGTTAATAAAGTCCGTAAAATGACAATGCCAAAAATGAAACTATACGTTGTCGCAGATCCTAGTTTGAAGTCGTCCGGCTTTGTCAGTTTCAAGAAAAAGATCCAGATATGAAGCAGACCGTCTAGTTTCAGCCGTATCCTTAATGTAAAGTGCACTAGGATATTGGAGATGCAGGCATTCGATGATATGTGGGTAACTGGTGGGTAACTGAGTGACAGGACATCTTAGAGATATCTGAATGTTAAAGTAAACAACTTGACAATCTTTCTTTTCTTTGTAAAGTTTCTAAAGGTTTTGCATGAATTCGACTTCATGTGAAAAAACCCAAAAAAACCAAGTCAACTATTGAAGTAGAAAAAATAGTAAGAATTATAGAAAGACGTTTAGTGGAACATCAAGACGAGTCTGCTATATATTAGTCTTAATGAACAGAGGGAGAAGATACATGGTGTGGAGTAGAAGAGGGACGAAAGATACCAGAGGGACAGTCAAACTCATAGATCGAAAACAAACTGACAACGTCATGGCCAAAAATAAAAAGACAAACAGACAAATAATAGTACAGATGACACAACATAGAAAACTAAAGACTAAGCAACACGAACCCCACCAAAAACTGGGGGTGATCTCAGGTGCTCCGGAAGGGTAAGCAGATCCTGCTCCACATGTGTAGGATAATGGGGGCAAAAACAAAAAAGTCGAAAAAAATAAGAGAATAAAAATCCTTTTTGTTGAGTTTGGTTATTCACTTTAAAGAAGGAAGATTTTTCGTCTTCCTTTATTATATAACAAAATTCTGCAAGAGGAAGAGGGATTTGTAATTTTCTAAAAGCTCCTTTTTCGTAAATGATGTTAAATGTTGGTGAAACACTGTGTCAACTCCAAGCTCTTTTGCTAGGCGATATAAATGATGATTTTTGCATATAAAACAATGTTGTTTGAGGATTTTCCTGCTGGAACCACAACATATTTGTCGTAAAGCACCTACAACTCATGGATTCTCGAAGGGGTTTAGAACACATGACTCAAAGTACATTGTAGTTTTTTTTATGTTATTATAAAGTAATATCGCAGAATTATGCGAAGGTTATTCCTGAAATGTATGCAACCTTAATCGACAGCAAAATAGGAAAAATAGCAACATATAGTTTACGTTTAGTTTTTGTAACATAAACATGTCAATTATACATGATACATTATTTAATGGAAATTATATGAAACATGCATCTGAATGATGTGTTAGTGTTAAGAAAATGTCATGATGCATGAAACCGAGACTATCTTCGAGGAATTGCTTTTATTAAGAAGAAAAAATAAGACAAATATAAAAAGTACATAAAATGGATAAAAATACAATTAGAATTAACAAGGACAATAAATACACATTTTACAATAATATTTACCTAGATCTGAAGTAATACTTAAAAATGCATTATGTTTGCTTGATAATAAGAAATCTGCCCATGGTTTATTTTTGGACGTAGATCAAGTGTTTCCTTACAAAAGTCTTGTTTATAAATCACTACAAAGGCTACATAAATGATCAATGCACAACTGCATGATCTTGCATATCAAAATAGTCATGAATTGTATACAAATTAAAAGCAACAGTAGTATACCGCTGTTCAATAGTCATAAATCGATTAAGCGAAAACAAATCCGGGTCACAAACCAAAACCGAGGGAAACACATCAACTCTAAAAGGAAAACAACGGAACAACAGAAACACTGAACTGCTACAAAAACAAAAGCCAACATACATAGAAACGGACTATTTGATAACAACTGCCATATTCCTGACTTGGTACAGGACATTTTAAGAAAAAATAGTGGGTTGAACCTGGTTTTATGGCTAGCCAAACCTCCCGCTTATATGGCAATGTTAAAAATATCGCTAAAATGACAACATTACGTGACAGGAATACAGTAGAAATAAACGCAAGAACACTCAGGACAGAGAAATACATAAGAAAATAATACAATAGTGTGTTAATTGCACGAAAATTAGTAAAACCGGCATAGTCTTTTTTGTCAAAGACTAACAAGATTTATGTCCATGCATTGGTATCAAATAGGTTATTATTGTTGCACAATGTGTAGAGCTTAAGCTGAAATATACCTATGTTGTTTTTGTTTAAAGGCATGGACGTTATATATTATTCAGATAGCCACGAACGCATTTCTTTTCAACACCAAAAAGATTTTAAATTTGCAGCATAAAACAAGTGAAATAATTGAATAATGTACACGCAATTATTTTACTATCTAGGGCAATTCTTTACGAAACAATTCTCCATTTCTAATAAATCAACAACAAAAAAACAATGCGACGACGTTATGCTTATTTCGATATTTTGTAGTACCTTTTTACCATGTACACTACTTTGGCTGATGTAAACACACACAAATAAAACCGAAGTCGGTAACACTATCAAAATTATTTCAAATCATTAAAACAGACTGAAATTTATCTGGCATCCAACGATCGATTAAAGAAAAATATACGCATGGGTGTTGAGAAAGGAGAGTTTAAAGTTAAAAAAACACCTGTGACGTAAATCTTTTGTTCAAACTCTCCATTATTTTTCAGGAATGGAGAGTTATTTGGACTTTCTCTATAACGTATACACCATTGAATTATAATAGCTTCTCTTATAATTATCTTTTTTAAGAAGTTGAACTTGATTTAAAACATTGTTGACTTATAATTTACAGGACTGATCGTGTTACAGAAGCTTTACTACGAGTATTAGATGACCTTGATAGCAATGGTAAAGTGATGATGGTGACGCCTACTTTTATGGACTACCATATATTTCACGATCCCAAACTTTAATAGAGAAATGATACTAAGACATCTAATATTTATAATTGGAACTACATGTAGTTATATATTTGCACATTATTTAGATTTTTATCATATATAAAAGATTCATAATTCTCTATTCAGTTTTTTATAATTGGATATATGTCAGATCATGTCAACGTGTTGTTTACTTCAGATCTACTTTTTATTTAACGTTAGTTTGTTATATTTTATTGCTAACATTTCCGTTTAAACTATATGAAAAACTCGGGGTCGCCGGATACGATTTTGCTGTGTATATCATTATACGGAAAACGGTAGTCTTTTTTTCTTCTATAGACGACAATGCTAGCATTTCCTAAATTAACCACCTTTTAAAAAATAAAAACCTGGACAAACAGTAATATGTGATATAAGTACTTTATTGTTCTGTTTTAGAAATTGAAGTCAAAACGGTGGCATTTTTCATCAACTTTATGAAAGTTTGGAAGCCTTTTCGAATAATTATCAAGAACATATTTCAATGTGTTTCAAAATTTATATTGTTAATATACACACTGCAGTTATTCATAAATAAATGAATAAAATATATTATATTCTTACATCCAATCACAGCGCTCCAAAGTTGACTTCCTTCACCTGCCTAGTGTACGTAATAACCTGGATCCTGGCTCACTGCTCGACAGTAGAGCGTACTGACGCGAAGAGGAGGTTTGGCAAGGATGCCAAGCTAGGGAACAAAAAAGTCATACCTATAGCCGGGAAAATGTGAAACTAATTGTTTCCCTTAATTTTTGAGTGATGTATAAAAAATATGAACTAATACTTTTTACATCATGACATCGTCACTGGGGGATAAAAACAAAGCAGGCCGGTGACTCCCTAATATTTGCATATCATAAAAACAGAAATGTTTGAGGCAATAGCATATACTAGTAATTACTTTTAAATCAAAATTCTGTGAACGGATTTGCGAGAAAACGTAATTTAAAGTGAAAAAATGGATATTTTTTTCCACTTTTCACGTACATTCTATTCATTTATAGTCTCTTTTTACACATTGTGATTGCTTGTGTCACTGTACAGTACTCATGAATGCTACAGGAATCATTTTTCGATTTTCAGATGGAGTTCCACCAGTTCTTAATGCTAAAACATGTTATCAAAATCCGAAATTTCGCCCAAATACGTATACTTTGTGTTAACTAATTTAGATAGGGTATTTAAAACAACAAAATACGAATGAAGGGATTAAAATCGTAAATATTTTAACTGCATTTGAGAAAATTGATATTGTTCAACTAATTTCTTCAGTTTAATCGATAATGATAAAATCATTGACATAACGTTGAAAAGTCTGAAGTATTATTACTTGCTTTATTCCAGAAATTGAAATATTGTATTAATTATAATGAAATGGGTTATTTTCTACTGACAGCTTGTCTTGCATCGTAAAATTTACAATCTTAATAATAACAGATAATGCAAAGTAATTCCGGAATGAGAAACAAATCGTACAAGAAATTATTTGCGTTTTTTTGTTTTTCAAATTGCAAACGGTTCTTTTGGGCAGGAAAAAAAACAAAATCTAGGATGTATTAAGGGAAGACTTGCAGATTATCTTCAGAATATATTTCTATCAATGAATAATGACATAAATATACAATTATTTGCTAAAAAAAACCAGTGCTATTTTATCTTATACTATATGCGATCAACTGCAATGTAAATTCTGTCTTCTACTAGAAAATTAATTAGCATAATTGACACTAATTAAAGTATAGTATCTGATAAGCAAGAATTGAGATAGTGAGTTTGATAGTAAATGGCACCGTTGAGACAAAAATGTTTATGATGTCACTCTACTGGATCAGTTTATTATTTACAACTTCGAAAGCTAGTTTTATTTTACACAATAATAGAAAATTATGATTTTGTTTGATGACATTGTAGTGTAAAAGACTGTACCATATGTTTCTGAAATATATGTAAATTGTCGTATTTTGATAAATCGGGTGTACAGTCCTGTGCAATAGTCTTAAGATATGATTATTAATACACTTGAACCATAACCGAAAAAATAATAGCAACACTAGATTACTAGATCAATCATACATAAAAAATTTGAGGTCAAGAAGAGAATTACATGAATACGTATTAAAACCATACGAAAATATGTTTGGTAAATCATAATTTGTTAACTACAGGATAATCGACGTCTTTTTTGTTGATTTCAAATCGACGTCCAATTTTTGGCTTTTCTAATCGATGTCCCTTTTTACGGACTTGTCGCAATGAGATCACAACTGTATTAAATGTTTGGTTGAGCCTAAAACTCCTGAGGTTGTTGAAAAATATAAGATATTAAATCCTATAGAGTCCAAATAATAATACTTTTCGACCAGTGACTGTACTTTGTTGTTCTGTCTATTGTTCGAGTGTGTATATTGTCATCTAGATTGTCTTCTAGTTATCTTTCTTGTTGGGTTGTTATCACATTGTCGTATATCCCCATGTCATTTATTTATATGTTATTATTTTAATGATTAAATCATATTGGACATTGATTGGAGGAGACTTTAGTCCATTGGACGTCGTTATGGTAATTTAAATGCAGAAATCAAAAATAATACCAATGTTTTCAGTAATGCATATCAAAAATGAATTTACATTCTACTTTGTTCCCTCGCTTCATTTTTGTTGTTGGAAATGTCTTGAAAAATAAATACAGTCTTAACACGAATACACAAAAAAGGATGGTTCTGTAACTACCATCAAATAATCAGCAACAACTCTATTTAGGAAATCCATTTAGGAAATGCAAGCCATAGATATTGTATTAACAGAGAAATATATGATCCATTTACAGGTGCTGCTGAAATGTTGTTACATAAAAGCAAAAGTTTACAATAGGAAAATTGAAGTCCTCTCTTTTATCGTAAAGTGCAGTTCTCAGATGTGAAACAGAACTAACTATATATGTGATATATAGTCTTTTGAGTTCAAAGGAATGGATGCGATCAATAAATAAATCTAAAGTTTGAATTATTCCGTGAGAGAGCATATTTAAAGATAAGACTAGGTTCTTTTCATTCTTCTTGTGAATCGTGTGTATGTAACCTGTCTCATACGAATAAAGAAATGAGTTGTCGATAAGATCTCGTGGGAGTACCAAACAAATCTACTAAACATAATTTCTATTCTGCCAATAAATCGATGAAGAGTTTATAAGATGTCAGTTAAAAAAAAGAATTTCTTTTTTCAAAGTATAAATGAATCCTTTTTAGCAAGTTGTTGAATAGATAAATGGTTCTCATTGTGATCTTTTCACAAATTATTATGACAAATATGACGACTTTTACCTTTCCTTTTTAGCTCACCTAACTCGAAAGGCCATGTGAGCTTATGCCATCACTTGGCGTCCGTCGTCGTCCGTTGTCTGTCGTCGTCTGTCGTCGTCGTCGTAAACTATTTCAATAATCTTCTGAAACTACTGTGCCAAATACCTTCAAACTTTAACTGAATGTTCCTTAGGGTATCTAGTTTATAAATGATATCCGAATTTTTGATCCATCAAAAAACATTGCCGCCATGACTAAAAATAGAACATAGGGGTCAAATGCAGTTTTTGGCTTATATCTCAAAAACTAAAGCATTTAGAGCAAATCTGACTGGGATAAAAATGTTCAAGAGGTCAACATCTATCAGCACTAAAATTTTCAGACGAATTGTTTGGTTGCTGCCATTAAATTGGTAATTTTAAAGAAATTTTGCAGTTTTTGGTTATCTTGAATATTATTGAAAATAAAGATAAACTGTAAACAGCAAAAATGTTTAGCAAAGTAAGATATACAAAAAAGTTAATATGATCAAAATTGTCAATTGACCCCTTAAGGAGTTATTGCCCTTTAAAGACAATTTTACACAATTTGTTCATCATGTTTGATAACATTTAAAAATCTTCTCCTCTGAAACTACTGGGCCTAATACTTCTAAAATTTAACTGAATGTTCCTTAGGGTAACTGGTTTATAAATTGTATCCGAAGTTTCGATCCATTAACAAACATGGCCGCCACGCTTAGAAATAGAACATAGGGGTCAAATGCAGTTTTTGGCTTATATCTCAAAAACTATAGCAGTTAGAGCAAAAGTGAGTTAAAGTGATGATTTAAACAAAATCTATCTGCCATGAAATTTTCAGACCAATTGGACCACCCATTGTAGGGTTACTGTCCGAAATAGTTTATTTTTATGAAATTTTACTGCTTTTAGTTATCATCTTTAATATCATAATAGATAGAGAGAAAGTGTAATGGCAAAAATGATTGGCTAAGTAGTTTCTACAAATAAGTCAAATGATTAAAATAGTCAATTGACTCCTTAAGGAGTAATTGCCTTGACACGTTTATTTTTTACATTTTTTCGTGCAAGCCTATTACTTTTTAAAAAATCTTCTCTCTGAAAATATTTAGCGAAATACTTCCAAACTTTAACTAAATGTTTCTTAGGGTATCTAGTTTATAAATTGTATCCAAAGTTTTGATCCATCAACAAACATGGCCGCCATGGCTAAAAATAGAACATAGGGGACAAAAGCAGTTTTTTGCTTATATCTCAAAAACTACAGAAATTAGAGCAAAAGTGAAAGGAGTTAAAGTAATAAATGGGTCATGATCTCTCTGTATAGATTATATTCGGGGATTTGATGCATTAAAAAACATGGCGGCAGTTTCTAGAAATAGAACATAGGGGTCAAATGAAGTTTTTTTGGCTTTCATCTAAAAAACTAAAGCAGTAAGAGCAAAACTGACATCGGTGAAAGTGTTAAACAGGTTTAGATCTACCTGTCAAGTAATCTTCAGACCAATAGGACAACTTATTGTTGGGTTACTGTCCAGAAATAGTAATTTTTTAGGAATTTTACAGTTTTGGGTTATGTATTATCTTTAATATTATTATAGAAAGAGAGAAAGTGTAAATGACAAAATTGTTCAGCAAACTAAGGTCTACAAATAAGTCAAATGCCTGAAACTGAAATTACAGGTGATCGATATCAGGCTGTCATGAGCCTCTTGTTATTCTTATTTTCGTGATTGTGATTTTTCTATTCCTTTATTGAATGGTACGTTTCTTCGAAGTTTAGATAAGCACGTGTTTCAGTTAAGGCTTATTTTTTACGAAACATATTAATATTTTCATTTAAACATCTTTGAAATAGAAATAAATCACCTTCGATTGGTGAACTTTTTACTATAATATTTTATCACAAATATATGCATTAATTGTGGAAGTGTGATTTTAGTTGCAGGAATTTGATCAAAACGTTGTATTTCACTTACAATATTATACTTCTTGAATGTTTTATATTCTTCGGTTTGTTAAAATACGCAAGAAAAAAATATTTTTGCATTGCATTCGATCGTGTTTTTCTGTACTGTTCATTACGATTTGTTTCAAATTTCCTTGGTAGAAACTCGACACATTTTTATCGCGCCTGTTGCAAGTCAAGACCCTGTAATTCTAGTGTTGTCGTTGGTTACTGTCATACTAGTTTTTCGTTTCAGCATACATCAGGCCGTTGTTTTTCTCTTTTGGATTCAGTCGAGGATTATTCCAGGCAATGGGCTAAACGCGAAGAAGACTTTAGTTAGATACTCTTTCCGAATGTGTTAAGGCTGTGAGGTCTCTCATACAAATTTGAACTAGAGTCTATGAATACACATGCTACTTCGATCTTCAAAGACGCAAATGTTGCTAAGCACTTGTCCTACCTCCATGACAAATATGTTGTTGTCCTCGCAGATAAAATCCCAAAAAACAACATCGTTTTTGTGTGTAAACCACATTACATGAACTGCTTGATAAGGGAATTAGGTATTGAAAATTCACTTGGAAACTTAAAATATACCCCGCGATACTTATTCCTACTATATTATATCCTGAATAATCATAGGTCTGTTCTATGTTCCTTTAGAAATTCAATCAAAGATGAAGAACTGGATCTTCCTTTACTGTATTGGATACATAAACTACATAAGTGTCCTTACAAACCACGTTATATTGCTGGGTCTTCCAAGTGCTCCACGAAACCTTTTCTAAATTATTAACAACAATTTTATCAGCAATCAAAACCGGGCTTTAAAGTTATTGTTAAACTACCTACTCAATGGGCGGCTTGCATCAGATGTGGATAATTAAAAATTCGAAAGATCTTTGGAGTACATACAATCTAAGTATTTTCCTCTTGCAATAGTATTAAAACATGACTTTTCTACCATTTTCACAAGTATTCCCCATTCCAAACTAAAAGACAAATTGAAAACAATGTGTCCTGTTTTGTTTCATGAAAAAAATGGCCAACGTAAATATTTTCTTAGGGAGGGATAAATCGTATTTTATAAAAAAAATCACTCTGATTTAAAATTCTCTGAAACTGACTTTATCAGCTTGATTTTTTTTATTGGGAACATATTTGTTACGTTGGAGAACATGTTTTTCAACAATCGGTATTACCATAGGAACCAACTGTCCACCTCTTCTTCCCAACTTGTTCTTTTATTCATATGAGGCAGATTTCATACAGAATTAAGAATGAAAAGAAGCTAGCATTATCCCTTAAGTTCACGTTCCGCTATAGTGACGATGTCCTTTCACTAAATAATTCAAACTTTGATGACTATGCTGAACGCATCTATCCTATCGAACTTGAAATAAAGGACACAATGGGGGTCGGTTCCGAACAAAACTTTACGATAAAAGAGATGATTTCAGCTTTCCAATTTTGAACTTTCCATTTCTATGTAGCAACATTCCAGCAGCGCCTGAATATGGATAGAGAATGGAAACGGGGAATGTATACATATATATGGAGTATATATATCCAAGTTGATACGACATTCCAGAGCTTTCGTTTCCTATAATTTCCTTGATAGAGGTTTGCTGCTTACAAGGAAGCTATTAAACCAAGAGTTCTAAGTGGTAAAGTTGAAATCGTCGTTTCGAAAATTTTACGGACGCCATCACGAGTTGGTTGACCGTAATGGAGTATCTGTTTCACCGATGACGACGAATATATTCAAATTGTTGTAAACACAATCCCGTCTTCTTTTCCTCGGATGTGACCTACCGAATTAGACTTATCACCGAATAGTACTTACATGAGCAACACACGACGGTTGTCACAAGTGTAAAAGGTTCACATAATATTGTATACAAAATTAATATAACGTGGTATTCCTTCTACATCTCACTGGCTTAACTTGAAATAATTCTGATAGAGTTCGGCACATTAAGAGCTATCCAAAAACATGAATAAAAAGGACGATCCAAATCAATTTGATTTAAATCATAGATGACATCTTCACGTTCAGCTGCAAAACGTACATGCATATTTAGGATGATAACATGTAGATGTTACACGAGACCATGCATTGTAGTAGTCCGACACACCGAGTCGGATTTTCAGCGTGATAGCTAGCAAGGTTATAATCCATTACCCTACCCGTTTACATCATTCTGACTCCAAGTCAAGATCAGAGGTAAAAGACAAATAATAGTCCACAAAACACTACACAGAAAACTAAAAGACGAGCGATACGAAACCAACCAAAAACCAGAGATAAACGCAAGTGCCCAGAGAGGAGAAGTTTATGTCCAACTAGTGACACCCATCTTGTTGCTCTTTTAAAGTAATAATCCAGTGGCAATTCAGTTATGCCAAATAACAACACTGGAGGCCATCACACGTATCAACGATTCCAAATCATATATAAAAAGAAACCACTGTATTATGTGTACATAATAGTGTCATGAAGAAAAGTGTTCCCCTGGACATTTTTTTCACATAATTAAAATACTAAATAATGTCTATTGCAAAAACATGTTGTCTATTAAGTGAACAGAATTTTACAGCAACAGTTATTAAATAGTGTCCTCCCACAGGACAATATTTCATAGCAGTTGTTATTAAATTATGTCTTCCAAGGGAAGTAATACAAAGGTCATCAAAATATTTTATTACTTGAATTTTAATTAATTAAGAAAGGTGTATTAACAATAGATGATTTTAAACAGTGTCTATGAGTACTTCTAGTGATTTGATCATGTTTGTAATTAAGTTATTAAATGTTTTGACATAAACTTTAGACAATGAAAAAACTGAGTTTTTGGCTTACTGCATCTGTTACCTAATTATTTGATTGAAAATCATTATATATTTTTTGGAAATAACGTATTCATGTTTATACCAGATTTCTCAGATTTCACTTCATTTTACATTTCAGTATATACATGTTACCCATATTTCATTTACTGTAGATCTAAAATGAGATCAGCCTCAAAATCTTCAATCAGAAGGAAACAGAGTAATGATTGCTTGATTGAGTACAGGAACAAAAGAATGTGATGGAGTTAAAAATTATTTCATGGGGGACATTATTAAATCCTACATTATCACATTTACTGTTCAATGACTAAATTTAATGGTAAAAAGTGTCCAGTGATAACATGAACACTTTTCACAGCTTAAGACATGTCCGGGACGCCTTCGGCTGTTTTCTGCTCTTTGGTCGGGTTGTTCTCTCTTTGACACATTCCCCATTTCCATTCTCAATTTTATGGACAATATTTACAACGAAAAAATGTCCGGCGGGCATTAATTCATGGGGGACATTATTAAATCCTAGATCCTGACTTGGGACAGGCACATAAAAATGTGTCGGGGTTGAACATGTTTGTGAGCGATCAACCCTCACTCTAATCTGGGACAGTGGTGTTACAGCAAAACATAAGAACAAAATGTAAAAATATATCCTTTTTTGTTTGGTTGATCTCTTATGTACGTATAAGACAAGTCTCTTTTTATTAACATTTCTAAACGAGGTGTCTTTATTAACCTGATTTATTTGGACAATTAACATTTAAACCTGAACACTATTACACCTGTCCACCATATAAAACAGGTAAACGTCCTTCTAAACCCTTCTAGCGTAAACTATTTTAAAAGCTTTAAATACAATTTAAATTGTATTTCTCATCCTATATATGTAACAAATAATGATATTTTATGAAGTCTCGCATCATTTGATGTCGAAATGTATAAAAAGTTGTCGTTAACATATTTCCTATTTGATAACAAAGCATATACATTTTCATATATAACAGGAAAGTAAACATTTCCTACAACAGATCTACAACAGTATATTTAACAGTAAAATGACAGTTGCCATTGTGACTGGTGGAGCAAAGGGTCTGGGGAAGGCGTTTTGTGAAGCTCTTCTGAAAAGAAGTTACAAGGTAAGATAGTTCGTTATGTTTATGTCACAATTCTGCCAATGCAAATAATGATAACATTAGGGTAGCATACTTTAATTAACTTAACCAGGGAAAAGAAAATATCACTTTAAGTAGCTTTGAGGTTAAAGAGTAGTATTCTTTTAAATGTTGAAAAAATGGGATATAGTGTGACACGCGTGCCTTGTGTCTCTGGAATAAATATCATCGTGCCGACAAGTTCCAAAAGCAAATTAAATATTTGGGAGAATAAAAAAGTCTACACAGGACAAAGAGACCATCGTACGTATAATTTGGACGAGGAAGTAAACATTATATACATTCTAAACTGTATATAAAAGTCTCTCACGGGACCAAAGAAAACTGACCTCTCAAGTGACCAAAGAAAACTGACCTTGTAAGAGAGGTACTTTGAAATGAAGTTCAAAATGCGTAGAGAGTGACCTGACAGGACAGGTTTTATAGAGGTGACCTGACATGACAGGTTTTATAGAGGTGACCTTTATAGCAGGTTTGACTGTTACTGCAACTTCCTTAAGATATGTTTCTTTGTGTTTTGGTAAAGATTAGATTGAAATGATGAACAGGACAGATATAAGAAAATTATTAATTCAAAAGAACATTTCAAAGGAATCCTTCGATATGCTAGTTACTAGCATTAGTGGAAGCAGAAGGCTTTGAACAATTCGTGACGGAATGTGTTCAGTATTTTCTAACTCAATCCATGAAAAAATATATTCTCGAAATGTTATGTCTGGTTGTATGATAATTGAAAGACTAATCATGGTATGATATAACTGTTTTAACTGGCAGAATACTGACAATAAAATCCAAAATAAGGTAATGTTATTTTTATATAAAAATGAGGAGGTGTGATATAATTGTCAATATATGTTTATTTTGTACAAACATGTTTTTGTAAGGGAACAAACTGTTTAACTTATAAAAACGTGACAATAAAGTTACACAATCCAGACATTTACATTATTTAATCTTAGAATACATGTATTGTCATCATTATTCGTTGTGTGTTGTTGTGTAACTGACTTTTAATCAGCTTGTAGTTTTTTTTTGTACTATAAGATCTCGTCAATATACACATCTGAGTTATTTATTTTATTCTTTAATAAGTTTAAATAAAAGGATATTCTTTACCACTATAACCACGTGATATAATGTTTATCCTACCGTATTAGATGATGAGTTGTAGTGTTGAACTTGCTTTTGTTGATCGTATAGGACCAATTCTCTTAAGTTCTGATAAAGTAAACTTTCATACAATGACGATATTACAATCAAATCAATTTATATTGTACAAAGGCGTAAATCTAATGTTAAAGTGTCTGATGCGATATAATTTGTCTCTACTACCTGGAAAAATAGTTATCTTAATATGAAACGCGACAAGGAGTAGTTCCTGGAATATAATGTATTGAGATACAAATATAATTTTGCATTCAATTTTCCATGTCCTATTCATTTACATTTTCAATTATATAAAGAATCAAGAAACATTTCTTTTAAAGTGAAAAGGAATTGAATATTTAAATAAGGTATAAAGGTTTCTATTATATATTTTATTTATCTCTATAAACATCCGATCACTAACATACCACATTACTCTATTCTATTTGTACGGACAATTTAGTAATCCGTACAGTTTCTTTTAAGTATTAGTTTTTAAAGTAATAACCATTTCTATTTAGATTTTGAAAAGGCAGAGTTTTTAAAATAAACACGATTATCATTTGAAAACGTAGGTACTCTGCTGTAATAGCAATAATATCAACGAACTATCGCCCTTGAAAACAGTAGAACATACAATACGATTGAAATATTTAAATAGGCAACTACTTAAATTTACTCCTGCAATATGAAAATTTTAAAACTACATTTAATTCACAAATCATAGATTTAAAACTGGGTATAAACTAACATCAAAATACATACAACTTTCGACTTTTTAATAAATTTGCTAACCTGCATTTGCACATGCATTTCCTGTTACTCCACCGCCCATGCAGCATGTAGAAACATATATATGCAACCCTGTACATACATTTTCAAGCATAAATTAAAAAAAGAAAAGAATGTTAATGGGGAATATGCATAGTTTTCTGTGATGGCAATAACATAGCGATCTTTCAATTCACTGCTGTTATAATATTTTAATCCAACATATTAATAATTTGTTTCCCCCATATCAGGTTAGGTAAGTTTTAAGTTTAGGTAGTTTACAATGATGTTGTGATCACATCCGTTTGAAATTTATTATGATATGAACTATTTTTTTTTTTATTCACTGAACATAGAAATGTGAAATTGGTACATTTTCAGGTTATAGTTTTTGGTTAAGGTAGCTCACTATGAAGTTGGGGTCACATCAACTTGAAACTTAGTAAAAATGTTCATTGTGAAGTTAAACTTCTAAGTTGTTTGCTTTATCACGATCTTGACCGCCGATTTCATGATTCACTGAACATAGATATATGATAGTGCGAGCGTGGCACAGTGCTTATGAACACATATTCTTGTTTATTTATATTCAGATGCTCAAGCTCGACACAAAAACACATATCCTCTGCATATCCCCGACCCTATTTCGTGTGATAAAATATTTCTCGGCAAGCCTCTCGTATCAAATTTGATTATTTGACTGTCTCGAGAGTAGAAACACCGTATCACACTTGAGGCAGTGGTAGAATAAGAGTGAATGTTTCAATACATTGTAGTCTTCTGAGATACAATCTAAACTAGACGATTAAGTTAATCCAGAAACCATGTTGTTGCTGTTTCTTTCAGGTTTGCTTTTGTGATGTTGATACAGATGAAGGTGAACATACACAAAAGTACTTCGCAAAACAATATGGAAACGGAAATGTTTATTTTCAAAAATGTGATGTGCGAAGTGAAAACGATTTCACAGGTACTGCATAATTCCACATACATATGATATTTCAACGTCAATAAATGATTTGATACATAATAAAAAAAAAACTATTTCTCATGATAGACAGTTCTTTAAACAAAGTCTTAATAATATCTTAATACATAATTTGATGTTATCATATATATGCATGATCTTTTGCTGTAATATGAGTCTATATGTAAAAAAAAGCGACAAATACATTCCTATAACGATATCCTCTATTTATTCTACAATTACAAACACAAATGAACCCAATCTGTGAAATCGTCAATTTTCAAAGAAGAATATTATAATAATAATTGATGACATTCGATAACTCTGTTTAATTAAAATGGTAAATGATGTTATAAGTAGACTTTAACCCGAGTTTGTATTGTAGCAAAATCAAATATAGATTGTGTTTGCCTGTATACGACTTCTTTACACTTATACCATTTGATGTGTACTGATTGATATTTAGTCTGGGAAAACATGGCCTATTCATTAATTAGAATTGACTTTTAACTAGCTTTCAGTAACTGCGATTGATACCTTGTTTTTTTTCATCTTTTGTTTTTGTTCTTTGTGTGGTAATTGCCAATCTGAAAATAGTTCTAACAAAAATAATCAAATTTGTCAACTTAAAATATATTACAAAGAAAAGGGACGAGGAGACAAACAACAGTACAATAAAATACTAGACAGAAAACTAAAGGATTTTACAAAACAAATCCCGCCAAAAATCCAGTGATGAACTCTGTTGCTCTGGTAGCGTAGAAGGTTCCGGCTTCACTTCACTTGTGTCATCCGTCTTGTTACTCTTTAGAAGTAAAACAAATAGATCACAAGTCTAATTTGGAAATGTCATGAAAATTAACATTTGTTTCACATAAGGAAGGAACACATATGATAGTCATAACAGGCTCTCACATTTGTTGGATATATTTAGATTAATTTTTTGGAAAAAATCACATTTCATAAAAAAAAAACAAAATAAAGAAACGAACCACACAGATGAACTCGACATCCATGTGTAAGTCATAGAAGTCATGGACAATATGGAACCCGTGTCATACCCATAAATTAAGTTTCTTATGTTGAAAGTCTTACGTATGTAAAAGACTTGTATCAGTTATAAAAATGAAAATGATAATAACAATAATGATGAATGTATTAAATAAATAATAATATAATTACAAAAATTATTTTTAATTCCTTGTAGTAATGTTTAATGGTGTCCTTCAAAAATATTCTTCAATTGATTTGATAGTGAACAATGCTGGAATTATACACGAAACACAATGGAGAAAAAGCATTGATATTAACTTGGTAAGTGCTTTATTTGGAAAACGAATTGAAAGAAATGTGTGAAATATTATTAATTTCCTAAGTGTTTTGTTTACACAACTCTGCATTTAAATAAAGGCAACAGTAGTATACCGCTGTTCAATTGTCATAAATCGATTTAACTGAAATAAATCTGGATCACAAACCCAAACCGAGGGAAACACATCAACTATATATATAAGAGGAAAACAACGGAACAACATAAATAAAGGCAACAGTAGTATACCGCTGTTCGAAACTCATAAATCGATAGAGATAAAAACAAATCCGGGTTACAAACTAAAACTGAGGGAATACTGATAAACACTGAACTGCTACAAAAACAAACGCCAGCATACATAGAAACGGACTATTTCATAACAACTGCCATATTTAAGCTTGGTATTATGATTGCAAGACACACATATACAACAAAAAATGTATACAAGAATTTGATATCTGCAGCGTAATATTCTAATAAAAATATGGAACAAATCCACTCATTTTAATGTTTGGGTAGAACCAAATTCAAAGTTGCATATATGGTTAAACAGAACAAAAGAGTGTGCATATGTAGGTAGTTTTGTACTTTTATTTAGAAGTGTTTGCGAGTTTGGCTTATTGATAATATCGGTAGATACCTCTGTTAGTGGACTGTTAGTCACCGGGTATCATCAGCCATGTAGCAAGTACTTCGGTACTGGTATGAAAATACGGATATTGTTTGATTGAAATTTGCCGTTACAAAAATTTTGGGAAATAACTTTAATTAAAGGGATATATCTCCCTTAAGCAAAGCTCTTATTCCCTGTTCGTACTTGGCTATAATTTAGGTCTTTTTTGGTTTGATTAGCTCTTCAATGTTTGTATTAAGTTTTGAATTTTTAAATATTTCGGCCTCGAGCATCACTGAAGAGACATTAATTGTCGAAATGCTCATCTGGTTCAGTACCATTGGTACTGTTGATGTTGTACTATGTGAAGATAAAAAAAACTGAAACCTGACAAACTGTCAGTTCCTTTTGGAACCAATGAAACAAGTCAATATTTCATTAGATCATTGGAATGAATGAAAAAACTTGTCAAAGATACTAGGGTTTTAATTTTGTACGCCAGATATTGTATACCTTTTGCCATTCTACACTGCATTATATGATTCCAGAATGGAGTAATACAAGGATCGATGTTAGCAATAGATCATATGAAACAAGGTGGCGGTATAATAGTGAACGTATCATCATTATCAGGTGAGATAGAAAAAAGTCATCAAAAGTACCTGGCTTACATAGTTTTGCAAAGTTCTTTAATTTCACTAATAGATATATTGATGATGTCTTGTCACTCAATGAACCAAATTTCAATGAATGCTTACATCTCATATATCACAGTGAACAGGATATTGAGGATACCACCGGAAGTAGGTCTGCTTCATATCATGATCTGTTCCTCGATATTGACACAAATGACGACTTCAAACTCGAATATTTGACTAATGTGACGATTTCAACTTCCCAACTGTAAACTTCCCATTACTTAGCAGTAACAGACCCTCTGCTCCGTCGTATGGCGTTTACATATCTCAGTTATTACGTAACGACAGTGCACACTATGCAGACTTCCTAAACAGGGGTGTGCTCCGTACACAAAAAAAAAATGCTGCAACAAAGTTATGGTGCTGGACGACTGATATCGACACTACATATGTTTTTTTCTACTCAATTCACTAGCGACTTGTTTCTGCTATATAAGTTCTTTATATACTAATATAGTCGTATGATCTGTAATTTTAGTGATTGCGCCCTATTCCCGATTGTGGCATTTTGAATGATTGTGGATTCGAACGGCGGACGATGCATGCAAAGCAGGTGACACTTATCCGTCGACGCACGCGGTCTCGCTCCTTTTGAAGTTCATGCGATTTCCTCATTATTTGTTTGTTACCTTGATTGGTCTTTTCTTAATAGATTTACGATATTTGAACATCACTAAACTACTTTCGCCTTAATTTACAATATACGTAACGATTTTTGCCTTCACTGCTCATCTGAAACAAAAGTTGGTAGGCCAAATCAATTACGTAGTTGAAGAGCATTGGCGATCCAATGTTTAAAAAGTTGTACAAAATCTATTCCTGGGGGTAGACACATCAAAGTGTTTCGAAAGATTTTATCATTTTATTAGCAGTTAATTTATAGCAAATGATTAAACCAATGACATTTCAAGTCAACTCAGACGTGCTTACTCCTATGCTTGTGATACCCACGTGGTAGAAACGTCCACCCGCTGTGAAACCGATCAAGTGGTTATAAAAAGTCATCGAATTTACAAACCTTACAATTTTAGTACGAAAGACGCGTACTTCGTCTACACAAGACTCTTCAGTGGAACTCGAATAAAAAAACATTTGAAAGGCCAAATGAATTATAAGGTTGAGATAAAAACGTATAAGCAATATTATCAGGTGATACATAAACATAAAATTGAGAATGGATATTGGGGATGTGTCAAAGAAACAACAACCCGACCAAAGAGCAGAAAACAGCCGAAGGCCACCAATGGGTCTTCAACACAGTGAGAAAATCCCGCACCCGGATTCGGGCTTCAGCTGGCCCCTAAACAAAAATGTGTACTAGTTCAATGAAAATGGACGTCACACTAATGGACGTCATAGCATCTTTATCAATTGAGGTTCACTTTATGGATGCGGTCCAATGATCCGAATAGACATAGACGATGGCAACAGACTATAATTAGATATCCCTGATGTTTTTAAATGATATACGAGGATATAATGGTTCTATGAATAAAAGAAGAAATGGGTAAATGTCAATGAGACATCAACCCAACATTTGACATTCTTTTGCAAGTGAAGCGGGAACTGGTGACTCTTCATATGAGTTAACCCCTGGGTTTTGGTAGGGTTCGTGTTGCTCAGTCTTTAGTTTTCTGTGTGTTTTATTGTTATTGTTTGTCATTTCGATGTTCGTCGTTTTGGCCCCGATGTCTGTTTTCATAAGACTTGTGATTTTTATTGCCCGTTGGTGTCTTCTGTTACTTATACAATTGACAAGGATTTTAATGTTCTAACCATCTTAATGCTATTTTGTTACCTTTAAGGGATTTCATTCACTTATTTGTTGCAATTAAAATTTAAGTGTGGAACAATTACTATATAAGAAACATAAATAAAAATTACAAGCTAAAAACAATTGATGAGTATCATGTCGATTGTTCTATTGACCTTCATGGTTCTATAATACTGCTAGGTTGTAGTCTCCTGTCGATAGTTCTATTGACCTTCAAGGTTTTATAACACTGCGAGGTTGTTGTCTCCTGTCGATAGTTCTATTGACCTTCAAGGTTCCATAATACTTTTAGGTTATAGTCTCCTGTCGATAGTTCTATTGACCTTCATGGTTCCATAATACTTCTAGGTTATAGTCTCCTCTCAATAGTTCTGTTGACCTTCGTGGTTCCATAGTACTGCTATGTTGTAGTCTCCCGTCGATAGTTCTATTGACCTTCAAGGTTCCATAATACTGATAGGTTATAATCTCATATCGATAGTATTGACCTTCAAGGTTCCATAATACTGCTAGGTTATAGTCTCATATCGATAGTTCTATTCACCTTCATGGTTCCATAATAATGATAGGTTATAATCTCATATCGATAGTTCTATTCATCTTCAAGGTTCCATAATACTGATAGGTTATAGTCTCATGTCGATAGTTCTATTGACCTTCATGGTTCCATAATACTGCTAGGTTATAGTCTCCTGTCGATTGTTCTATTGACCTTCAAGGTTCCATAATACTGATAGGTTATAGTCTCATATCGATAGTTCTATCGACCTCCAAGGTTCCATAATACTGATAGGTTATAGTCTCATATCGATAGTTCTATTGACCTTCATGGTTCCATAATACTGCTAGGTTATGGTCTCTTGTCAATAGTTCTATTGACCTTCATGGTTCCATTATACTGCTAGGTTGTAGTTTCTTGTCGATAGTTCTATTGATCTTCATGGTTCTAAATACTGCTAGGTTATAGTCTGTCGATAGTTCTACTGACCTTCATGGTTCTAAATACTGCTAGGTTATAGTCTCCTGTCGATAGTTCTATTGACCTTCAAGGTTCCATGATACTGATAGGTTAGTCTCCTGTCGATAGTTCTATTGACCTTCATGGTTCTTTAATACTGCTGGTTATAGTCTCTTGTCGATAGTTCTATTGATCTTCAAGGTTCCATAATACTGCTAGGTTATAGTCTCCTGTGGATAGTTCTATTGACTTTTTTAAAGAAGTTTTAATGGCCTTTACTAGATAACAGCAATGGAATAAAATAAGTTAGTTTTTAAGGTTCTGAACGCATTATTTCATGGTCCTTTTTTCTTTTTAAAAAATCGGGACCAGTTTTGATTGTGCTACTCGCAAAAAACCAAATGATGTAAAAAGCTTGATTTTAATTGAACTAGAATGTGTAGTTTTTGTTCAAAATTTGAAAACATTAAAAATATGTTGGGCAGCATTGAATAAAACTGAAATACTTGCGAAATAAGAGTATCGATCTAAACGTATATTATTACATAAAAAAAAAGTGGACCGATTCACTCGCAAAAAAAATAAATAGTTCAGGACACTAAACCTACCGAGTGTACTTTCTGTTGTATTTTTCCTGCATACACTTTCACTGTTCATCTCCAACTTCTTTTGGCACTTTTACTTGTAAATGATTGCCTTAATTAATGACCGTCTAGAAAAGAATCGTCTTCCTTTATTGGACCCAGTTTTCATAATCAGAACATTTATGTTGACCTATTTAATGATTTTAAATTTTAAATTGTGAGTGTACACATTGCGTATTAAAGTGAAAATTTCTAATTACCTGTTACATAGTTTGATACCTGTACCTGTAGGTATAACAATTAACCGGTTTTGAGCTTTTGAAACAGAAATTTTTATTACATATGATTTTTTTTCAGGAATTTGCGCTTTTCATACAAACTGTAATTAGGGCAAATGTATGATTCATTTTATTTGTAATGTTTCAGTTATAATGTCTTTCAAATAAATGTTAACACGATTGCGCACTGGAGATATCAATTAATTAAATAAATAACTGGTGAAAGCTGCCTACAAATTCTATCTATCCTTGTCCGACAAAAGATTGTTTAACCATGACAAGTACAAACAAACAAACAAATAGACAAGAGATAGAGCATAACTAACCCAAAACATTAACACTTGACAAATAAAAGACGAGAAAACGCGCAAGGAGAAACAACAGACGAAATGAGATGAACGTGGTATCATGCATTTGTACGATCATAAACAAGATGGGAAAACATAACCCTTGTATAGATTGTTTTCCAATGAATGTTTGAACGTGGAATATGGTTTTATTACTTATAGGTGTTCTTCCAACATTATATGCTCCGGTTTATTCTGCAACAAAAGCCGCCGTCATCAACTTCACCAGAAGTTGGGCTGTAAGTATTGAATTGTCAGGAATTACTCGAGATAAAGAGTTGTAACCAAGGGGACAGTTGTTCAGTTGTTTATTCAACCATTTAACTTAACCATTGTTTAAATGATAGTACTTATAAATGATAGTACTTATAAATGATAATACTTATAAATGACGACCATATATAATTTGAAAAATACACCTTTTCTATTTTTAAGTACCCTTATAAAGGTGATTCATTGTTCGAATGCCTACATATATTTATTTTTTATATTTTGTTCAGAATGCAATTTTATATCAAAACTACCATACTTCAGTCTTCTTTTATCCATTGTCATGGGAGATATAATTTACATGAAATCCACAATGAAATGTCTTAAAAAAAGGAGAAAGCTCTATAATCTGCAGTACATTCAATTGTAAATATCAAGTCAATTTTCTTTTATGATCAGACAGTATGGGAAGAAAATGTTTATTCATGATAGTCAGTAAATATCAAAATTTAAAATGTGTATCCTTTTTTGGGGGGTTGAAACCCATTTTTCGATAAATTGCATGATTGATATATTGAAGGCTTCAAAAGCAAATATTACTCAACAGCTAATGTCAAATAGGTGTTGGGTAAATATTCTATTGCCTCCATGAAAAGGTTTAATAAGTTTTCTTACTTATATGTGTTTCCATGGAGCAGTGGGATCATTTTTTACAAAAGGACAAATGTCACTGTTGGTACTCGGGGATCGCTAATCTTCTTAAATTTTGCCAAAAGAAGATTAATAATCACTAAGAGAAAGGATTTTTTCTGAGACATTTATATCCATCTACGTAAAAGATTAACAAAAAATATATGTCTTTCGTCTCATTTTTATGTAAAATTAAAGCACATTTTTACATTCAAATTAAGAAAAAGAAAACATGACATTGATACATGTACTTGTAACTACGTCATGTAAGGTATGAATATGAATGTAACAAACATATATATACTAGTATCTTATATAAATCATCTTTCAAAGCTAAACTATTCCATAAAAAATATTTTTTTATTGCACTATTGACCTAATTTCCATTATTCAAGGAGGACAAAACGTAAATCCTTAAAAAAAAATCAGTTGTATCACGGTCAGGCAACTTGACCACATGACAATAAGACGGGTGGCGCATGCCAAGCCAGGGTATACTGACCCTTTCGAAGCAGATGAAATCAAGTGTCTGGATAATTTTGTTTGTTTGTTCGTACTTTTCCTTGTTAGTGTATTCTCCTCTCATTTTCGTTATATGTCACAGTGGTTTCTAAATTCTACTTGATGTTAAAATGTAAAGCACGATAACTTTAAACATTTTTGTTCATTTAATCTTTCCATTTGAGAGGAAATTAAACCAATCTATTTAAAGGCGAAGCCATGCAAGGAATCAATCATAAAAAAGAACCTTCTGTAGTTCAATCAATGACAATGTTCACATTACAAATGGGGTATGGTATCATTTGGGATATGAAACATTTTTTTTTGTATGATTAATAAGATACTTTGTTTAGATTACTATCATGCATCCTGTTTTTGGTCTGTATCTATTGGAATTACAGTAACAACATCGGAAACAATTTACTTATACAAAAAATGTCACTGTTCATAAGACGTTTAGTGATTACCTTTATCAAATAGTAATTTGTTGTTGAAATAAACCGTATCAAAATACTTTTAAGTGTTTACGAATCATCAATTTATCGCATTCGACACCTCATGGTATGTACTGAGCCTTTATAAGCTAGAAGTATACTATTACTAGGAGGAACTGACACTGAACATTACCAACATGTCTTGACCGGTTCATCGAAATACGAGCAAGAATTTTGTTTCACAAAGTAATAGTAAATTTTTACGAAATAGAAAGTCAGTTGCACACGCAGAAGTTAATCTAACCAAGTCTGAATAAGTTTTTTTTTCAAAAGCGTTGACATTGCTAAATTTATAATTTTAATATTTCTTTGAAATCTTCTTTTAAGATGAACCCAGCAGTTAATCAAAATAGCATACGTATGGTTACAATGTGTCCTGCCTTTGCGGATACAGACATTATCAAAGATATCAAAGAGGAACAGTTTCAAGGCAAACAATTTGTACTTCCTTTTATGGAAAAGCTTGGAATTATGCCGTATGTATTTTTTTATGATTGTACTTTATCCGTTTCCATATTGTTTAAGAACGAGGTGGTGATAACAATGATTTAAAAGATCACAAGATTTGATTTGATATATAGCAGTACATATGTGGAAATGTTCCAATCATTTCGAAGAATTTTTTTCTCTAAGACCGCCTTCATGTCAGCTTGACGTGTCACGTGATGATTTGGTGTTGTTGTGAAAAATGGTAAGATATCAAGGGACAATTATAAATCATTAATCAAGAAATACTGATATCACCATGGCTACCAGAAATAGACTACGAAAACACCAAACATCAAAATCATTAATCAAGAAATACTGACATCACCATGACTAGCAGAAATAGACTAGGAAAACACCAAACATCAAAATCATTAATCAAGAAATACTGACATCACAATGACTAGCAGAAATAGACTAGGAAAACACCAAACATCAAAATCATTAATCAAGAAATACTGACATCACCATGACTAGCAGAAATAGACTAGGAAAACACCAAACATCAAAATCATTAATCAAGAAATACTGACATCACAATGACTAGCAGAAATAGAATAGGAAAACACCAAACATTAAAATCATTAATCAAGAAATACTGACATCACCATGGCTACCAGAAAAGACCAGGTAAACAACAAACAACAAAATCTTAAACAGAAATAAACAGAAATAAACATTAATCCAGTCAGTGATTTTTCTATTTAAGAAATTTCGAACTGAGTTGATGATTTGAAATGTTTTAAGGTAGAGGTTTCGAATCTTTACTGATATTTTAGTACTTTTACATTACACTACGATGAACTGCAAAGTCGTTCGATTCCCAAAATATCCATGGGGCTTTATGCTACAAAAGTTACGTCACATTTGTGGGTTTTAAGGACGCGATGCCTCATATTTTGTTCCTGAAACAAATATATAATATTTTAATTAGCGAGCGCTTCCGTTCTGGTTTCTTAGCGGTATTTAGACGCAGAAAGATAATTAGGTAAAAACTTTCTCATGAAAAATGTCTGTATATAATTCGAAATATGAAATCAGCTCTCCAGTTGTTTGTGGTATTGCTATCATTATTCCTTTTGTATCACTGAAAATATTTTCATTCATACTATTCGCTACACAGAATTCATTTGCACGAATTTTTTTTTTATTCTATTGATTGATTGATTGTTGTTTGCTTTATGTTCAGTGGCAAATGTTTCATGCATGTTCACGTTTTTGATTCGAAGATCCAAAGGTAAACAAAGAAAATAAAATGTGAAGAAGCTAATTTTGTTTTATATACTTTTGTTTTCCAGTTCAATGATGTACAATTTTGACAGTTTAAAATATTTCATTAACATGTACTTTTGTTCAAGTATACAGCTTTCAATTTAACATTACTAGTCATTATATAGTACTTCGTTGCCTTTTGTTAATCCAAATACAAATTAACCCAAAGTCAGAAAGAAACAATTATGAATTAATAACGAATATAGTTTCGCGGGACCTCTTTTGAATCATGAGGAGACACTTAGTATTCTTTCGTTTAGAGATAACAGGTACATGTCTTAAGTCAGGAGCCTGTTGTTCAGTGGTTGTCGTTTGTTGGTGTGGTCCATAAGTGTTTCTCGTTTCTCATTTTTTATATAGATTAGACCGTTGGTTTAAAAAAAAATAAGAAAATCCTGCTTAGGAAAGCTGCATTGAAAATCTAGCTTTCTATGAGACTGAAATGATTTAAATGCCAATAGCCTATTTCTTGTTTTATAATTTTGTTTTAGTCTTGAACGTGTTACTGAAGGATTCCTCAAAGTATTAGACGACCAGGACAACAATGGAAAATCTCTGATAGTTACAGCAAATGTTATGAACTATGTAACTTTTCCAGATCCATTGAAACCAGAGAATCAATAATACTTTAAGTTGCACAAAAAATTTATTATATTTGATATTAATTTCTTTTATATCAGTCATGTTATTAATAAAATATATATTTTTTTATAAGTCTTTACGTACTTTGTGGGTACAAATATTTACAGTATCTGTAAATTGTAAATACTATTTCATAAAAAATCAAGTTCATCTTTTGCAAGAAAAAGGAGATGTAGGTTAAACGTCAATGAAAAAAGCATTGAACCTCGAAAATCAAGTCTTTTACCAGAACAGACATCTAGAGGTAATCATAAGGTAATAAGTTACTTAAAAAAATATATACGCTTCGATCTGAATAGCAAAATACAAGTTATTTATCAAAACACTCCAATACTAATCTTCTTGCCCGAGGACTGTGGTAAAAGCTTCTATGCTGTGATGAGAGTTTGTGCGAAAAACAAAAATTTTGTGGAGATATCTAAAAAAGAAAAAATTAATAATAATTCCATCTGTTTGTGACTCGAATTCGGATACAAGCTGTGCCATTTGTGATATAAATGGAGATCTTATCGAAAACAGCGTTTCATTTGTTCAGAACTTATATATATATAGAAGTGAAAACAAAATTGTTGTGCGTAAAGCCGTGAGTTGCATGCAAACGATGTTAGGCAAACTCTGTAATATATAGGGTAAATAAACTGATATTGTCTCTGTAATATATAGGGTAAATAAACTGATATTGTCTCTGTAATATATAGGGTAAATAAACTGATATTGTCTCTGTAATATATAGGGCAAATAAACTGATATTGTCTCTGTAATATAATGGGTAAATAAACTGATATTGTCTCTGTAATATATAGAGTAAATACACTGATATTGTCTCTGTAATATATAGGGTAAATAAACTGATATTGTCTCTGTAACATATAGGGTAAATAAACTGATATTGTCTCTGTAACATATAGGGTAAATAAACTGATATTGTCTCTGTAATATATAGGGCAAATAAACTGATATTGTCTCTGTAATATAATGGGTAAATAAACTGATATTGTCTCTGTAATATATAGGGTAAATAAACTGATATTGTCTCTGTAACATATAGGGTAAATAAACTGATATTGTCTCTGTAATATATAGGGCAAATAAACTGATATTGTCTCTGTAATATATAGGGTAAATAAACTGATATTGTCTCTGTAATATATAGGGTAAATAAACTGATATTGTCTCTGTAATATATAGGGCAAATAAACTGATATTGTCTCTGTAATATAATGGGTAAATAAACTGATATTGTCTCTGTAATATATAGGGTAAATAAACTGATATTGTCTCTGTAACATATAGGGTAAATAAACTGATATTGTCTCTGTAATATATAGGGCAAATAAACTGATATTGTCTCTGTAATATAATGGGTAAATAAACTGATATTGTCTCTGTAATATATAGGGTAAATAAACTGATATTGTCTCAAAATTCTTATCTTTCAAAATTTAATTAGCAAGTAATTAAAAATGGTGAAGTATAATTGTTGTATCACGTTTTATTTTTTTAATAGGACTCGATTTACTTAAAACCACTCCCCCAATTCTTCCAAAAATCCAAATTGAGGACTTCTTTATTTTTTTCGAAACAAAACTGAAGGAAATATCTCATGGTAAATACATTATATAAACCATTATCTAAATATTCAGAAGAGTCTATGTTGACAACAAAAACTTTGCTAGCGAAAAGAAGGAAAATGCCCTATTTCATCAGCGTTACCGATTGAGACGCAGGGGCTCTTTTCACAAAAAATCTTACGACTAAAATTGATCGTAAGTTATACTTCAAATGTTCATGACTTAAGAGTGTTTTTACTCGTAAGATATTTTGTGAAAAGAGTCGCAGTATCGTGGGTAACGTCTCTACGAACAAGTAATAACTTATGCGAGATAGAAGCTTAAGGACGAAAAGAAAAACAATTCAGTTCACCACCAATCCTTTGATATAGAAAATGTTGATATACGTCAGAGAGGATTGATCATTGTGATATTAAACTGGCAATGATAATTACTGCACACATTTCTTCGACGTCCAATTAAAAGATTGACAAAAATGACGGAAATGGTTTGATTATTTCCCTATCTAATAAAACGCGTACAGTTTTCACGACACAAAATCATATTAGGTGTCTGCTTGTTCACTATCCACATGTCATGAGAATTGTCCTTTGTGACAATTATAATTACAATTACAATTGACCTTTATTTATCAAAGATTGCGTTAATTTTATAGAATGACCATACTATTCAATTATGCAGTGTCTCCTTTGTGGGCTTGGTAATGGCAGTCTCCGTCATTTATTTTCCAGGACAAAGGAACGATTTTGAAAATGTTCAGCTTCAACCGCCGACATTGTCATCCAGATTAAATAAAGATCTCTTGACACGCGATTTCGTGTCATTTTTCTTTGACAATTATTGCAAATAAGACAATTTATATTTTTATTCAATAGTATAGTAACTTTTTTTCAAAATTATTTTTTCGATTATTTATGTTATTTTAAAGTTTAAAAAAGGAGTTATTGACTGTTGACGGTCTTATTTTCTGGTTATAAAATAACTAGCATTATAAACTCAATATAATATTTGATGTATGCTTTTCACTCCTATTAAGTCTAGAAAATTACAAATGATGATTTATTACGAACGACACGCGTTTAATTAACGACCTTGGGGACGCTCAAAACAAACTCTATGAAATTCAGAAAAAAAGCATGAAGTGTTCAGTGATAGCAGAAAACCCAAGACTCATTTAAAGGGAGAATAGAACCACACGTTTTAAAGGCGTTTGTTTCACCAGCATTTGATACATAAATTACACACTGAAACCGAGCTAAAACCAATGTGTCCTTATTTCATATTTAATGTGTGTAACATCATTACGTGTTAAGGATCTATACATTCGTCTCCAAAACTTTTAATGAGAGGAACTGAATAAACAATGAGAAAAAATGTACAGAATTTCGATTCTATTGTGTTTAATAAAAAAAAAAGATGTTCGCGGGCTTTAATTTGTTTATGTGAGCGTACCTGATGAAGGTAAACCAAGAAAAGAGCTTTTGAAGCACGAACTTTATAAAGTGGTATTGTCTTTTAATAGGACTGGCTCGATACCACTGCTCGTGGACCGTAAGTACCCGCGAGTATCATCAGATCAGTAGTCAGTGCCTCTGTACTGAATTGATTTATAACATATTTTTTTTTCTAAAATTCCCTGTTGATATATTAAGAAACTTAGGTATCAAATATCTCAGGCAGAATTCATGAAATTAACCTTAGATGAATTTGGCTCTTCCTTTTTATGTCTCTTTTGGTACTATAGCGTTTCTAGGTATTTATATATCACTGGCTTTAATTATTTTGGCTTTGAGCGTTGCTAATGAAGATTTATCCATAAAAATACGGACGCACGTTTTTGCAGTGTTATTGTTGTTTTTTTTTTCTCTCGATAGGAAATCGTCTGCAAAGAATTTATTCATATTCCTTCAAGTTCGATTGGTTAAGGATTATTTTTTTTTTCTAATAAGGATCTTATTTTCCGCCATATATTCTACCTGCTTCAGTATAGTAAAATAAAATTGAGAATGGAAATGGGGAATATGCCAAAGAGACAACAACCCGACCAAAGAGCAGACAACAGCCAAAGGCCACCAATGGGTCTTCAACGCAGCGAGAAAATCCCGCACCCGGAGGTGGTCCTCAGCTGGCCCCTGAATAAATTATGTACTGGTTCAGTGAAAATGGACGTCACACTAAACTCCAAAACATATAAAGGAACTAAAATTAAAAAAACATACAAGACTAACAAAGGCCAGAGGCTCATGACTTGGGACAGGCGCAAAAATGCGGCTGGGTTGAACATGTTTTGTGAGATCTCAATCCTCCCCTATACCTCTAGCCAATGTAGAATAAAGAAACACATAGCAATACGCACAGTAAAACTCAGTTTGAAAGAAGTCCGAGTCCGATGTCTGAATAGGTAACAAAAGAAACTAAGCAAAATGACAATGATACATAAATTAACAAAGGACTACTAGCAGTTAAATGAATACATATATATATATATATATATATATATATATATATGATCCGTTCATCCTATTTCGACTCTACAAAATTCAAGAGTTTATCCTAAATTGAGGTAAATCATATGGCCTTCAAAATACCGTTTCGATTCCTAACATCACTGAAGAGACATTAATTGTCGAAATCCGGATATGGTGTACTAATTTTTGCACCTTTTGTTTGCGGTATACCATCTTTTCCGCAAGTTTTTTGTTTTCTGTTTGGTATTAAATTAATAGTTAAGATCCATTTTGTTACATCTGGTGATCGGTTTATTTGGCAATCGCCAATGGCAGTCAGAAGGGTTTAAGAACATGCGTTGTTCGACCTGCTAGTCAAATGAGTTTTGTTAAAATATACTTTTTCACTTTTTTTGGTCTATTGGCAAATGTTGTTTGTGCTGTATTTAGACCCTTCTACCAATATATTTGTTTTGCATGCACACGTATAAAAATTGCGGTTCTTATCCAACGCAATCATAGGTTTGAACGTTGTTTTCAATTTAGACTTGTTTATAATTTTTTGTTTGGGCTTGTATTATACTGGTGATCCGATGGATAAAATATGTCGTATAGGTGTCACTGGTTCAGACGTATATATATATATATACAAGTCTAAATTGAAAACAACGTTCAAACCTATGATTGCGTTGGATAAAAACCGCAATTCTTATACGTGTGCATGCAAAACAAATTTCTTGGTAGAGGGGTCTAAATACAGTACAAAAAACATTTTCCAAAAGACCAAAAAAGTGTAAAAGTATAATTTAACAAAACGCATTTGACTACATGTAACAGGTCGAACAACAAATGTTCTTAAACCCTGCTGACTGCCATTGGCGATTGCCAAATATACGGATCACCGATGTAATAAATGGATCTTAATTATAAATTTAATACTAAAAAGAAAACAATAAACTTGTGGAAAAGATAATATACCGCAAACAAAAGGTGCAAAGTTTTTTGTACACCATATCCGGATTTCGACAATTAATGTCTCTTCAGTGATGTTAGG